CAAATTAATATAAAGTACAAGTGAGGCTGATCATTTTGCAGGAATTTGGTCAGAAAGCATTGGCTGGTACAGTATTGGACAAATTGAAATTTTGACCTGAAGATGCGACATTAAAAATGTTAAAGGATCACCAAAGTTATTCCAATTCATCCTATGGGGAACATGAACACCTATGTGAAATGCCTGTACACCTGTACAAAATGTCATGACAATCTATCTATTGGTTGTTGAGATTTTTCACTTATAGTGGTGCTAGATGAAAACTTGGAATTGGGATTCATCTTCTTAGGATCATGAATCTCTATGCCAACCCATCCAACAGTTGTTAATATATGTCAGCCATGACCAAAGAGGGGGACCAACCGACTGACAAAAGACCGACATTCCCATCCCTAGAGCCATGAGTCGCGAGTTTGACGAAAAACTTGCGACTGAGTATGAGTTAAAGTAGAAAAATCGGCTATCACCATATAAGAGAACACCTTGCGTGGTAGCTCACCACCATTAGTGTGAATGTTAGTGTGATAGCCATTTTACCTACAGTAGTTTGTGTGTTTACAGTACTTGTTGCTCACAGCTGAAAGGAATCAGGAGATGCACGTTCCCTGCCACCTGAGTTTTGGGAAATTAGATCAAATAGATCAAGGTAGTTTGAGGTAAAGCAGGTATACCAGCAAGACAAATGACAACACAAAATAAATCACAATGATCATTAAAAGATGGATGATGTACTGTTAGGGTAACTTGATTAATAGCCACTCTCCCAAAAACATAGATGCCTTTAGGTGACAGAACATCTCATTTCACATTTCAGCACATTTCATAATGTCATCAGTAAAACACAATATATTAAAAAGTAACACTAGATATTCGCAAACATACGGTAATGTGCGGCAACATCTGTTTCACCTTTTCACTTCACGCTTCCTTTGGTTGACCCTCACCCTCCGCTCTGCTGTAGCAGCTCCTGTGTCTTATTTCATTCTCTCTGGCTTCCATACTACAGTGTGTGTTTTTGCTACTGTGTGTACTTTACAGCTGACTAATCACACTGCTTATTTTCGCTCATTTTTGTGGTTTGTTTTTGCCCTACATGAGGTACTTACATTTTTGAGGATGTGCTTGTGAGTGTCTCTGCACCAGGCAGTTCCCATTCAAGTGTACATTTAGCTTTAGCCTTCACCATCTCATTATGTCTTTCTGTCTTTGCCTTTCTAGTGTTATTAACACCATGTTGAGGGTCAAGGGAAGTTTGAAATAGCTGAGTGTAGGTTGTTATTGCTTGCAGTGGCTCGTGCAGCTTCTAGGACCCAGGATCTCTGATATTTCACTCCCAACAGTGGCCCTTGTCTCTGGGGTGACTGTGGCCCTGCTGGCCCTGACAGAGATGAATGGAGAGTGTTTGTTTCAGAGGGCACTCAGTGATGCAGCACCAATAAGAGGGACACTGGTAGAGATATCCTGCAATTTCAAGTCAGGATTTCAGCCGGAGGGTAAAGGACAATGCACTTGAATGCAAACTGATGGCATTTTTCAAACACACAGCTTGGCATGCCAGATGTGGAGATTTCCTATGACCATTTGTCTTCCTCTTCCCCTTATCCTGCTACATTTAGCTCCTTTACCTATACTGAAATGTTAAAGCCCAGCTCAAATGCCGTTGACTCCAGCAATGGACCAAACAATACAGGAGTCTAGACCACAAGTTTTGCCTAGCAGTCTTTCTTTGTTGGCATTCTCTTACATTTTGGCTCTGTATGTTTGCTTCTGGCACCAGTTTGTTACCCAGTTAAAGGTGCACTGGGATCCAGTTCAAGACAGTGGACTGTTTGATGATGGTGCCACATTTTCAACCGTTGGAGTATAAACTATTCCAATCCTTGTGCTTCTTTTTCCTTTTTTTAACTAATACCATCTGCACACTTACACCCTTTACAAGTGGTGGTAGAATGGAGTTTCTTGTAGAACACATTTGTTGAAAGTTTCTAAAATTCATTATTGATTTCAGTCCTTCAGAACATTTCTGTAGCTTCCAGACATTGCTGAAAGTAAACGAATATTCCCTTTGAAGATTCTTTACAGCACCAGTTTGACAGCCTTAGTTGTATTTATGCCCCCCACAACTTACAGTAAGTACTATCTGCCTGCCTATGTCTTTACCTGTGAAGAGCTTGCTCCTAAGTGTGTAGCTTGCACCTTAAATGTACAGATCAAACACAGCACCCATGCAACATGTTTGAACATTCTTCTATTCTGTTTGAAATATGGGAATCCAATACTGAACAGGATTACAATTAATGGCAGCTGAAAGAAGCTTTTCTACGCACTCAGTTAGCCCATTTTTGAAAAAATTAACTTAACTGGATGGATTTGGTTGGGATGAGAAAAGATGAAGATGATTGGGTTAATGTACATATCCATAGTTAATCACCGTAGTAACAAGGGAAGGTTTAGTTACAGTCCTATATTTTGGACACGCTGGTCAGCCTGCTTGATCACTGACAACAAATATTAAGCTCAGACAAAATATTAAATATAAGTGTACTTGCAAGAATCTTTAATTTCTGAAATAGTTGACCTTTTTGACCTTACTGTACACCAAAGTACATGTAGATGTACAAGTTTAGTAAAAGTTTTTGCCCCGTGCCACAATAAATAAATTTATTTCATTCTAACTCTAAGCTAGGAACACTGTTCTTCTAACCAAGGACTCTGGTCTATCCCTTGGTCTTGACTCAGCTGATCAAATCAAATGTAAAGACCGTGAAAATACAGCATGTATAATATTAAAATGTGCTAGGTTTACACGTGTTCAGTCAGTGTTGTCCTTACCTCGACACATCTTCTGTAGCATAGGATTATGTTTTAGCTACTGTGGTTGGTGGAGAGCTGACTCTGAATGTTAAAAGGCAGCAGGAGTTGTAGTTTGCACACTTCTCAGTGCCAACTACTCCTCAAGCTCCAAACTGCTGCCTGAGCCGAGCTGTCAGCCCTAAACCCAGGCAACTGCGCAGGGCTTTAAGGGGATAGACCAAGGGAGGAGGGAAAGGTAGATGAAGGGGAAGATGCAAGGAAAAGTAAATGAGGTGGAATATTTGTGTTTGAACTGAAACAATGCTGTCATGATGGTACTTGCACATTTATTTCCTCATTCACAGTCAGTATTGCATGGTATTGTGTTGTACAAAAATATCAATTGTTCAGCCTGTTACAGTTAGCATAACAAATGAATCTCTTTCATGATATTACAATATTGTGTTATTATAGAAGGATTGGTTGATTTGTTGCCTGGCACAGTAGTTCAAGGTTTGGATGACTGACTGGTTGTCATTGCTCTTATTTGTGTCATTTGAATGCAGTTACACTCCTTTGTTGCCTAAGAGATACTCTAAGAGTGGTTACACAATGCTTTAAAAGTGACTGAGAAACTGTTCATGAATTTAAAGATCAGAGAAGAGAGAATGGATAAAGGAATGCAAGATGAAGTTCATCAGGAAGAACACAACAAGAAGAAGTAGGTCATATTTGTTTTGTAGCTGTACATAGACGGATACATGAAGGTATGAACATTTTCACCAGGAAAGTAGTGTTTGCATGCTTTTGGTTCAATTGTCTGGCTTCAAGGTGAGAGAAACAACATGGCTGAGCTCAAAACCTTGCAAGGCAGCTGGACTAGCAATATCACAAAATCCATCTTGCCAGATCGATGCACTTGTACCGAAACTGATTGGTCCCAGTGTCCTATGAGGAACCACTGGCAGCTACGGGCATGGTTTAAAGAAGTGCAAGGAATGGCACTGAAGGCTTTCCTCTATAGAAAAGATGCTTTTACTCTTCTCCCAAGTAGCTTGAAGAAGACTTTGACTACATTACAGTATAGGGTTCGTTGATATTCAAAGTTGTAGTTCGCTCGTGGTGGTTCAGTCAACTGCCATGTATTAAGTGCCTGCCCTTTTCCAAACAGTTTCCATTGACAACTTGAGCAGTCAGGTTAGAGACCCAGTACATCTTGCTGCTCCCATTTACTTGGACATCCAATAATGTAGTAGGTTAGTAAGGTTGATAATAGTGACATTGGGCTGGGAAATCAACCAGTGACTCTAGTTCATGTCTTTGTTGTATCTGTTCTGAACTGAACAATGTGTACAGCTTTGTTTTATTTGTGGCATTCTTGTGTTCCTGGCAACATGCACACAGCTTGCTGGGTGACTCAGGAACAGTACATCTATGAATATGAAGATCAGTGCACAGCTTTCAATACTGTTATTACTCGGACCCACCTCCATAAATCCAAGGGTAATTGAGTTCTAGTGTTTTTTCTGAGCAAGATGGCAAAGTGTCAATGATTAGAGACACACCTTCTTGGGTACTTTCCCCCGTGCTCTGATGGCTTTATCTTCAAATGTTATGTTAATGTAATCACTAACAGAGAGAAAGTGCTGAGTCGCTCTTTGTGCCATCGTTACAGTCTTTCATGAGTGATGAAGCCATTTGCATCGGAAGCTCACAAGCTTTGACAAGAACACCTAACAAGTTTTCTAAGCTGCCAAAAACATTTTTCGATTGGGTAAACCGTTCCTGTATCTCCCCCAGTTTGTTTCTGTGACTCTGTTTATTGGATTATGTTCTCTGGCTCGCTGTGAGTTACTGTCAAACTTTTCTGTGAATCAGAAGTTGCTGCTTTTACTGCGTTATCTGTTCTCTCCTCACTTTTTCCTCTTTCATTTTCCCTTTTCCTCTTTCTTCTTTCCACCTGTCATCATATGCTGCTTTTATTTTACCCGTCATATTTTTTTTATCTTTAATGATCTCTCTGAATTCTGTGAGCTTTCTTCTTTGTTGTCTCATATATATAAAATATTTTTCTTTCTGTTTCTTCAATTTCATTAGTTTTCTCTTCTCTCTTCTTTCATTCCTAACTTCACTGATTCAGAAAATACTAACTTTCCCTTTTTGACCCCACTTCTCCTTCTCTCTCCTCCCTCTATCTCTGCCCCCAGGATGTTCAGATAGTGAGTACGGACGAGAATCAGGTCTTCCTCGCCCTCCAGGAGTGGTACCAGTCAGACACATATAACCTGTACCAGTCGGACCCCCAGGGCGTCTACTACTCCATCGTCCTGGAAAATGTTCGCAGCACCAAGCAGCCAGAGGAGAATGTCCTCATCGACATACTTGAGGTGAGATGGGGTGAGGAATGGGGACATTGTTTATGACCACGGACAAAGGCCCCATAGAGCATTTTGCAAACAAACTTCAGTTTTACAATGCATGAATGTTCGATGTAATTGGTTTGCCCTGTGAATACAGTCCAAATACAAACAGGCTCTAAATGTAAGCTTGGTCTCGTCTGGGGACTCTTCACCTCCAAATAGTGTTTTCTCTGAGTCCAGAGCAGCCAATCATTGTAAAGACCAGTGTGTAGGATTTAGTGGCATTTAGCAGTAGACTGCAAAAACAGCTCATTCTAAGGTAACAAAAACACCATTCTTACTTTCAGGTGATCATACACTAATATACTGATGAATTTTGTTTTGTGCTTCTGCCAGTATAACTTCCTAAATGTTCCACACTGGACCTTTAGACATGTGTCACAAATATATATTTTTAAAAGGCTCAATGATTTCCTAAAACAACTGGGCAAATGTTACTCAGACAGGAGGAAATGGTGCATTTGTTGGGGACTATTTTCAGTTGATGATTAGTACACGCTCCGGTAAGTATTTCCAGCAGTAGGATGCTGTATGTGGCCTTGAGTCAAAATAAACAACAGTGTGTGTGTTCCTGGTAATAAAGGACAATGTCACCAGTTTGTTGAATTCTAACCTTGGCATACATTTCTGCTGGCTCTGTGTTTGTCACACCAAAAAGAGGTTGCTGTCTTTCAGAAGACTGTTCTATCATTGCCACGAAAGCACTTCAGCAAAAGCAGTGTTTTTTTTTTTATAAAGGCCAGCGGTTTTGAGTGAGTGACAACAAGACATGCCAAATGAAAGGGAGTTGTTTCTCCCATTTCCAGAAAATTCCTGCACTGTGCAGGAAGTGTATAATGTATCATGGTAATCAACCCAGCAGATCATATGCAGATCTGTTCATCTAGCCATCTTCCAGTGCTTATTAGGGCACCCAGGATAAATGGCATATGTAATCCCTCACTCTCCTCCCAGTTGGGTATGCCAGGAATACCTCCACTGGGGAGCATCTGGGAGCTATCCTAATCAGATGCCTGAACAATCTCAACTGGCTCCTTTCAGTGCAGTGGAGCAGGGATTCTACTCTCCTTCCAGATATAATATTAGACTCCTTATCTCGTTCACAAGGGTATACCCAGGCACTGAAGGACATTCATCTCACCATCCTTACACTCATCATGTCATACATGAACAAGACCCAAAAGTAAACTTTAGGCTGCTGCCACCTGAAACCCTTGCGGATACTGAAGGTATAGTTAGCTCTTGTGTGTCAGATAGAAGAAAATTATACACTGACAACTTAAGTTTGTAAAGAGACTACTACTTCCAACCTATCCCAACTCATGACCATAAAAACAACTCGGGCATTTGACAATTTGCTATTCCCAGCCCCCAGTTTACAATTTTCCGTTTCAATTCAATTCAATTTTTCAATTTTATTTGTATAACGCCAATTCATAACAGAAGTTATCTCAGGACACTTTTCAAATAGAGCAGGTTAAGACCGAACTCCTTATAACATTATGATAACAGAGGCAGGTTGACCACTCAGAATTCTCAGTAATGTTTGAAACAATGGGTCCTTCATTTCAGACAGGGGTAGATAAAAGCAGACTTCTCCTTTCAGGCCTGCAGTCATTGATTTGGCTGAGACGATAACTGTTGCTGGCAGATTCTATCAGCTGTAGCTAGATTGCTAATTAAGCTAATGTTACCTGAAAACGTTGTCATTGGCTGACTTTATAACGTTTCTGGATGACTTGTATTACAAAGTTTGACTGCCCAGCTTACTTACTTATTCATATTTTCACAGTTTGTTTTCACTTTAAACAATATAGGTGAAAAGGCTTTTAGGACGAGGACAAACGTAACGATTCCCTAAACTGGAATTATAGAGAAATACTACACAGTAGTGGCTTTTTTAATGCAACATATAGCTCTATTATAACTCTATACTAAGCTTTGACTTAGAGTAATGCTAAGTTGTAGATGGTAATTATCCATTTCTTACACTTAAGCTCTTGTGTTTTGGGTTTTTGAAAGGCTTAAAAAGAAAAAAAGATCAAGATCACCCTCCATTATGTGGCCAAAAATATGCAGATACATGGCAGCTTTTCCTCTAAATGGATCTTAAGAATGCATTCAACCATTGATTTCTTCTTTTCTGAAAGCAATCTTGCATTAATTATGAAGACTGTTTAAGGACTCAGCCTGATGTTCCTGTGTTAGCCTTGCCTTCCCTTGCTTGGTATGTTTCAGCTGTCAAGCTATTGTACATCTCTGTGTCACCTGAGTGTTTTGGGAAGGTGTCTACTGTAGATCAATGTGCGTGGGCGACATGAAACGAAGATGAGGGAGAAGGAGAGAGGAATTGATGGACTAAAGAGAAGAGGCTGCGGACCATGGAGGCAAAGGCCCTCACTACAGAACTCATTTCCTCCTTCTCTCTCATCCCTCGCTCCAGGCTATACTCTCATCACATGCTGTAGATAGAGATAGAGAGGAAAATAACATACAGTGGATGGATAAAGACTTGATGCAGCAGGAGCAAAAAATGAAGAGAAGGAGATGAAGTGCTGAATAGATGTGGAGAGATGAAGAGGTGCAGACAGAAAGGAGAGAAGCCAGCAGTCCAGAGAGGATACAAGCAGGCTTATGTACTCTGATTTAAACAATTACCTTGTTTCACTCCATAAACATCAGTGCTACATAATAGATAGCAAAGGGAGCTGGGGTAGTCTGCGGATGGAGACATGTCTGACTTTCTGCCTGGCTCTGTTTAAGTGTCTGTCTGCACAGTCTTCACCATCGTCTTGCTGTTTAATTTTTCAACTTCAGAGCCTGTAGCTATCAACCTCACAGCCGCAAAAACCATGCACTATGTATTGATTTCAGTGAATTAAATTTTTACAGCCCTGTAGTTTCTGTGTCAGTGGTTACCTTACTGCCTTTAAAGTAACACACATTGTCTCAACCACTGCTGACACTTATATTCTGGTTAACATTCTAAATCTAGCTGTATAGTTCAAGGTAGAGTTACAGTCCAGTTACAGCAGTTATATTTTTCAATTTTCTTTTAAGAATTCTACCCAGACATAAATTACCCACATTCCCCCCTCAGTCCATATTCAGTGCCTATGTTAGGAAAATTACAATTTGAAGATCCAGTTACTACATTAAACTGAGACAACGGAACTTTTTAGAGAATAAATAATGCATTCACCCTTGTTCATTTCAGTACACACAGGGGTTTTACAGCTGAAGCTTTACTTGGTCTGTTTCCTAGGTACGTGGTATCAAAGGAGTCTTCCTGGCCAATCAGAAGATTGATGGGAAAGTGACAACCCTCATCACCTACAACAAAGGAAGAGACTGGGAACCCTTGGCTCCACCCTCTACTGACATGAATGGCAAGCAGATCAGCTGCAAAGCGGTAAGCAGTGACCCCGCAAAAAATCCTTCATACTTTTTTGTCCTTTATTTAGTCAAATGAATGTGTTTGCATTTACCCTATGTCCTCATTAAAGCAACAACAACTAGTCAGGAATATTATTGGCTGAATAAAGCTGACCAACTCATCAGCTGACAGCTTCTTTGTGTACTTTGGCTTGACAGGCAATTGTTCAATCAGTAAAATTTTTAGCTAACTGACTGCTGGCTGTAGCCTCATATTTAACTCACAGATGTAAGAGTTGGATCTACACATCAGCCATAACATTATGAGCACTGACAGTTGAGGTGAATAACACTGATTATCTGGTTATCATGGCTGTCAGTGGGTGGGATATATTAGGCAGCAAGTGAACATTTTGTCCTTAAAGTTGATGTGTTAGAAGCAGGGAAAAGGGGAAGTGTGAGGATTTAAGCCACTTTGACAAGGAACCAGAACCGGAGACAGGGTCAGTGCCTGTCTGCCAGTTTCTTTTCTCATACTAAAGCTGGGGGGCGACAGTCTGAAATTGTCAGAAATGTTTTGACATTCATTTTATACACATTTTATTGACATACTACTACAGTGATGGAAAATGCACTTCCCAGGCTGCAAATACTAGATAATTCTACCATTACAATGTGTTCAAACTTTGTGTCTGCACTCAGTCAAATTGGAACCTGTCAACCAGGTAGTTCAGATTATGAACACAACGTTAGAGAAGGAAGGATGAGTACCTGGCTCTTTCATTCATCTTGTCAAAATTGCCACTGCGGGGCTAGACAGCAAAGAGAAATGAGTCAACCACAGTCTGATATCCATACATCACACCTCACAGAGGGAGCAAGTCCGATCCTTTATTTAAACCATCGCTCTAGTCAGCTGACAGATTTGAAGGGGGACATGGATATCAGCTTTAGATTTGTTTACCATTGGTGAGACACATGGCTCCGATATTGACCTCTTCTTCTCTTTGTCCTTATCCATACCTCAAACTAACAGCCTTGCAAAGAAAATAAGCTCTTCTGAAGTCCCGTCTTTGCGTCCATCGGTCAGACACTGGCATTACACATATCATCTTACTGACATCCTAAGTCACCGAGCTAGACACAGCCACATATTGGATGTACTATCTAATGTGTGACTGTATCAGGCAAACTCTGTCAGCTGTATCCATTACCTTACCACCTGACACAGTCTGGCAGAGAGTAATGACCTCTTCTATACACAGAAGCAGTTTATCATAATGTGAGAATGATTAATGCCCACAATCTGCATTTAATCCAGTGTTGGAAAGTACCACAAGTACTGTATAAAGCAGGTATTTAGTGTTCTCCTTGAAATGAGATTGCCATGGCTATGAATACAGAACACAGGAAATATGAGCTGCTAACACACACACTCTGAAACACATATGGTCTGAGGCTCGTCAGAAAGCATGGGAAATGTAGGAGAACAAAATATAAGATTCTGGCTCTACGTGCTTTTCCTCTCTGCTGCCTCTCAGATGCCCGACCTCCCTCTTGCTCCTCTCCCTATGTTTTCACATGATCTAACCCGATGAGTTAAGGTTTAGGTTTTGAAAGGTCGTTTGACATAAGTCTTCCAATGTTCCAAGAAAAATGACATTTTTGACAATGGAGTCTGGTGGCTTTGAACACTGCTGTTTTTTGTTAAACAAAAAGGATCATACTCTTTAGCAAAAGGTTTATCTGTTGAATCCTTTCTATAATGTTGTCAGACACTTCAATCTTCAACTACAATCTGAGCCTTTCAGTGGAAAGAACGAGCCAGTTTAATGGACGTACATTGACAGTGCAAAGTGCTCACATTGCAGCCAGTTGCGTGATCGCCGACCGCAGTGCTCTTGCTCAATACTGGTTGAAAAATACCAGAGTTATCCTTTAACACATGCCAGTTTTGTGTGTTATAGCCTTGTGTGTTTTCATCACACTGAAACAGAATCTCTAGGAGACTTCAGATCAGTCAGGACTCAGAGACGATTTGATAAAATGTAATGGTAAGGGATGAAACTCCTACATGCTGGTGGGTGAGGGGCAGGAGCAGTGTTTAAAATCGGGGCTACTGGGCTAATAACTTATATTACTACATAATATATCCAATGTCACTTTGACCAAAATAAAAGCAGACATGATGTTCATTGCGGTGGATTCCCTAGCCAAGACAACCACATTTTAAAGATGGTTAAAAGATAAAATGCTAGCTAACTAGCAAGCTAATTTAAGCAAATTGTTAGTTAATGTTTTAACGTTAACTCATTTAAGATGTGACTATATGTCCCTTTTATCTTTTAACCATCTTCAAAATGTGGTTGCCTTTTCAACACAGACAAGCATAGCACATAGCAATTTAAGTACAGGAAAGGAGGAAGTTGACTCAGGTTCTTACTGAGGCTTGCTCAACTGTTATTGGAGCACAGAGTGAAAAGGGGCGGGAAACGGTCAGCAGTAATGTAACACAGGTAATTCCTGTAAAGGGGAGTGTTAAATCAGAGAAGACATTGCTGATTAGACTCCATTAACTTTTAATTAAATGTACGTCTCTGAAGACTGGAGCTATTAGACCAGAAGTTACTTTAATTCTTGTAATTCTGTCTGCAAACAAGATCTTGTGATTCAAATGTACTACAGACCTGACATGGTGACGGACTGTCCTATCACAATAAGTGTCATTTCAATTATGGTTCCCTGATAAATTGTCACCAAACAAATTCTCTGCTAGTAAATACAAAATAATCTGCATGGTTCAGTGTTATTTGTGACAGAAAGCTTTGCAGAACAGTCTTCAGCTCAGCCTCTTTGAGGTTTAAAGCAACAAGATCCAGAGCGGCTCTGCCTCTGACAAATGTTTGCATCGTCTCATTCTCTCATTTGAAATGAATTAGCTACCACTAAAGATCTTTCCCCATGTTAAATTTGATTAAGAGCACTGAATCCCCACACTGAGCTGTATTTGCAGCAGGATTATCAGGTATCTGTGTGGTAAGACTCATTAAACATGACTGAGGGTTTTCAGTTCACCAACCATTTCAATGAAGTGACATTTTCTTATATTAAAACTCACTGTTACGGATCCACTGTGAAACATCCTATTAGATGGTGGATCGGTGTGTATATATACTGTGTGAGAGTGACTCTTTTATCCTCACATGAAATTCTGTCTGCATGTTTCTGTTCTGCAGCCGGATTGTCACCTTCACCTCCACCTACGCTGGGCAGACAACCCCTACGTGTCTGGGACTGTCCACACCAAAGACTCTGCTCCAGGTCTCATCATGGGTGCTGGTGAGTCTCCAGAGCAAAAGATACTGATAAGACCCCACTCTACTAGAGAAAAGAGAATCTTTTCTTGAATACTTAAATTGAGATATCAAATAAAATTCATAGGTAGTAATAACTAAATAGATATAACATATCTCTGTTTTTTATAAAACGTAATGATATAGTAATATAAATAGTATTTATGTGACTTAGTGTGGATATTGCTTTCTGTAGACATTGCCATTATCATGCTAATAGAAACCTACTAAAATTCAGCCTAAGATGCTGCTGCCAAGCAACTGTATGTGGTGTTTTGCCAAATATGGTGCACCCTATACCTTGTATCACTTCAGATTTCAGCAAAACCAACAAATACCAGCTCAAAAGCTTCATTAACTAACCCACTTCTGGGGGTGGCCGAACATGCATTGGCCAGTTTACACTGTATAGATCTGTAAACATACTACGGCACATTCTGCTGTACTGATTCTGAACTTATTACTAATTTAGCATTGTATAACTAATTCATATCTAGATTAGGGCTGAAAGAATTCCTCAAGTGAATCCAGTAACTTGATTACAAAAAATCTACAAATGACTAAAGTAAAGAACCTCTGTACAGAGAGTCTGCTGTAAAACACAACTAGCTTATATTATACTGCAACCTAACGTTACTACCCCTCACCCTCACAGCGGAAAAGACTCACTTCCCACAACAAACCGGCACAGGTTACCCACGAGCCCACCTTTCTTAAAGGGAAAGGCTGGGCTGGTAACCCAGGTGAAGTTAGGCTGTGGGTGGAGGAAGGATCGGATCCTTTTACTTAAGTAAAAAAAAATATCCCACTTTGAAAATACTCCACAAGCAGTACAGTGTGGGTACGACAGAAGCCATTCCTCCGCTGTAAAAAAAATACATTTTCTCTATTTACTTTTTACTATTACTGTATTGCTTTGCTACTATTGCTTTCATAAAGCAAAAGTATTTCTTATCCAATTACTCAATTAATTGATGGAATAATTGGTAGAATACTTGATTACTTAATTAATCAATAGTGGCAGTCCTAATCTAGATACAAAGTAGAAAAGGCACTAGGGCACTATAATGCTGTATATGGAATAAGGCTATGTATTGGCAATCTGGCAATACGGGACGTATCATGATACAGGAGTTATAAACCAATATATTGCAATACTGTAAGGTGATATATTGAGATATTTTTAAGCTAATTTTAGGTAAAATCCTAGTATAAATCAAGTCATAGTATAACTTTTTACTTTTTGTATTTAACAGTTGGATTTGCATTTGTATTTATCACAGTCCCTGTAACATCAGATTACTTGTCTGTGTTCATAACACTGCTATCTAGTGGTTGGAACTTAAAACACAAAAATCGATAGTGTTTTTAAAAAATCAATACAACATCACAAAACATAATACAAAAAAAAAACAGTATCAACATTTTCTCACAACCCTAATGTTTGTTGTGTGTGTTATATGCCCATGTGTGTTGTTGTGTGTGTGTCAGCCAGCGTGGTTTGTTTTTGTCGGCAGCCTCTACAGTAACGCTTCCATTACATGCAAACAGTCCACGCTGCTGTGCTAAAAGGTGCCACTCCTCCAGCGACAAACTGCTATTTACCCTGAGAAGAGCTTTGACACAAGTAGTGCTTTCTGTCTGCGCGATGGTGGAGTATAAAACCACATTGCTTCATGCCTGGGCTCTCTAACACACAGAGGATTCTCTGAACCGCCAGCAATTTCACTTATTGAATTTTTTCACTATGTTTGTTTGTGCACGGGCACTCCTGGCAGAAAGCAAAAATAAAAAAACAAAGTTAAGATAAGTAAGCTGTATGTGTCTGTTTATGAGATAAGGAAAATAAGCTATATAAGCTATATAGGTCATGCCTTGTATCTCTGACTGCTATGAAAGCCCATTTCTGCCAGAAAAAAAACTAACACCTAAATGTTACTAATGACAAAACTAAAATAAATCAGTATTGCTCAGTAATATACAATTTTCATGTACATTTATATGCATATGGGATTGCTGTAGTAAATAGATAGATAGAGATGTTACGCAAGGTCAACACAATATTTCAACTGTTTGATTTTCAGATGAACGCAAGTGGTGGGAAATAATTGATGTGTCATTTTCTGTAGCAGACTTCTGAAACTTGTCAGCAGCCCAAATGATTAATCATTATAATTAATTTGCATAAAATTATGAAAAGTATCAAACTGATAAACAATGTTAAGTACCTTTTTGAGCAGTTAAAGCGGGTAGGGGGGTCCCCAAATAGAAACTTAGCATTAAAAGTGCATGATGACCTAAGTGAAAGGTACACATTTTTAAAGTCAGTTGGTTGGCTTGGTTTCTGAACATTTTGACTTTGTTCAATTGTTTATATCATTTATCCCATAATTATGACTTAGTGTTTAATCTCTTTTACTTAGAGGGTCAATATTTAATATAATATAGAATCTTTGATATTTATAAGTATGTCATAGTTCTGACTTATCAGTGCTAACTTTATCATTTCTGTTTTTCTTCTCTGGGCAGTCATGGGCCTCCATAGAAAAGACTAATCTCTTATGAAATGCTGACAATATAGAATATTATAGAATTTATTATGTTATAGAAGTCCCATTACCATTCAGTAAATAATTACAAATAAAAGTGAAGCAATAAAAGGGAGCATCCCCTACTATGCGACTTCCTCCCTCTTTGGTTTTTCACTATCTAGTCTCCTCACATCTGTTCTCTCTGTGTTCTTCCCTCTCTTTGAATCTGTTGTTGTTGCATGCGTCATACGAGTCTCCCTGCCTGATGAAATTTTCAATTCCTCTTTTTTCCTTCAGGTAACCTTGGCTCCAAGCTAGTAGAGTATAAGGAAGAGATGTACATCACTTCAGACTGCGGGAAGACGTGGAGACAGGTACATCACGTCCTCCCTTGCTTCTTCTTTTTTTCCCTCTCCATACTACCACGTCCCTCTGTTCCCCCTAACCTTCTCTACACTTTGCCTCTGCTCTCATGAAAGTTACACAATCTGAGGAGATATAAAATGCATCTGTCCAGTTTTCTTTTGCCCCAAACTAAAAAAATCTTTTCATGATTTGGAAATTCCACCCCAAGCTTTTGATGTCATTTCTTTCAAGGTTTTCGAGGAGGAGCATCACATCCTGTACCTGGACCACGGTGGGGTCATTGTTGCCATTAAGGACACCTCTATTCCCCTCAAGATACTCAAGTAAGGTTATTGTTATGTCAACAATAATCAATAGAAAACCTTACTGCTGTAAGACATCTTTTAACAGACTGTGATCATTATATTGTTGACCTTTTATTAAAAGCATTTAGCATCATCCACCTCTGATATGATAGATGTGATGCAGGTTAATTCATAGTATTTATTCTAGTATTGATCACTACTAGTGGATCAGCCATTTGACTCCTCTGGCAGTCAATTAGTCAATGTGCCTTTATTTGTATTGCACATTTGATACAGGTCAGTGCATTTCAAAGTACTTGAACCTGAAGGTGTCTGACGAAATATATATATATAAATATGAAAACAATGGTAGACCAGTACACTCAAAAAAGTAAAAAACTAGAGGTTCTAAATTAAAATGTATAAAATGAAAAAATATAATATGATATAAAATAAAAATTCTAAAAGTGAATACAATAAATAAGAACATATATAGTATAAAATGAAAAAAAAAACATTTATAAATCATACAATAGTCATAACACAAACCAAAAGCTGGGCTAAAATCAACAATTACTATAACCAATCTTCCTGCTGGTGGGCATATAGGGGCATCAGTGTCAAACTGAGACCAAAGTTAGTTAGTAAAAAACTCTTTGCAATAGGATTAAACACATATGTGAATTAAAATAACTTAACATTGACTTTTGGTTTCACACATGATAGATAAAAGTCAGTGTGTCTTTGAGCCATCCGTCCATCCTTAGCTCCCGTCTATGCAGGCTTTGTCTCTCTTTAACCTACATAAACTGACGTCCCCCCCTTTGAGCCATCCGGTATATTTTTACAGCACAGGGACAGATCAGTCCAGTACTGTACCCTTCAAAATCATTGAAGATCATCCCCCTCTCTCCCCACAGCTCATGCAGACAATTTCAAGCTCAGCAAGATGTTATCTCATCGACCTTAATAAATAAGGATGAAATAATGAGAAACCATAGATAAGGGAGTACTCAGAAAAACATTTATCACAGACCTAAATCAAATGACCTTTTAGATGGGCCCTCGTCTGTCTCCCGGTGAAAGACTGCAGAGTGTTGTCCTTCACATTTTACCCTCCTTCATGCCTCAGCTAAATCAATAACCCCAAAAGCTCTGGCAGTGTGGTAGAAAACATCTCATAAAGAGCCACAGAGAGCTGTGAAAGCATGAGAAAGTGTAAGAAAAGACAACTTTTCACCAGTGAAACAAGCACAGTTTTTACCACTTCATTACACACCGTAATGTTATCACCTCATCAGGTGCTGAGATTTCTGGCTTCCAAAACTCTCCCTGGCCTTCGTTCCATTTCAGAGCCAGAATTACTGTTATTCGGAGTTCCATGACCCCCAATAATTCTTTCTTCCTCAACTGCTCCATAATAGAGAACAGCATTAAGTGTGAGAGCAACACATTTTAGCCGTGAAGACTGAAAAGAATTGTTCTTGAGCCAAAAAACTAATGATGGAACAGCACTGTTATTCCAGAATTTTTCACATTGATTTATTGCATCTTCGGTACATGTCTCTGTTGGATGTCTGCTCTAATTAGCAGGCTTACTCGTCTCTCTTGTAGAACAGAATTTTGTCTGAAGTCTAATTGTTTGCTCTCAAGATGCATATTCTTAAATATGTTTGTGTTTAATTACATGACCACAAAGCAAACCGGTAGTATCCCAAAAAAATGCAAAAAAATGCACAGAGAGGGAGAGGAACAGGGTGTTAACAGGTACCCAGCAGCAAACATTCAGCCATGATGCATTTTTTGTGTAGCTGTTCAATATATTTCCAGTCTGCTGCCTCTCTATGTTGTAGTACCCATTGGTATTGGTTTCCAGTATCCTGGACATGATGCAACAGCCTGTGTTGGACAGCATATTTATTTTTTTGTCTGTTTCATTGAAACATTGCACTGCACTGAAAACAGATGCACAGAATACTCTTTTTCTGTTGCATTTATTTTCTTTTTCAGGGTACATTTTGGGCTGTCTTTCATAGTCAATGGATGAGAGGAGAGAGATAATTGGGGAATGAATGGCCAAACTGGATGTTGTGGTTCAGCACCTTAAACCTCCCAGGCCGCATTTTAAATACAACTTTTGGTCCTTTATTATTAAAATTCAGTTGCTATTACTACCAGTAACCATAGGTGTCACCTAATCAACCAAAACACATCCAGGCAAATAATCTTGCTTAATCAAACTTGTGGTAGCTGAATACTCTTTCCACCATCATTGCATTCCTAGCAGTTCAGTTCATATTGAACCTGACTGTGTAGCGAGGTATATGTGTGGAGGTTGGGGTAGTGGTGTAACATATATAAAGGAGACTGGAGATTGTTATTGTTTGTTTTTTGTTTTCATTGTCCACGATCTATGATATTTCCCTAGCCTGTTCAAGGCGGGAATGTTTCACTGTTATTCCACCTATGTACATTTTGTTCTGTGGCTGTGGCTCAGAGGAAGAGCTGGTCGTCCTCTAATCAGAAGCTTGTTAGTCCGATCCCCGGCTCCTGCCACCACATGTCGAAATATCCTTGAGCAAGATACTGAACCCCAAATTGCTCCCGATGCTGTGCATCGGTGTGTGAATGTGTATGAATGAGTTAGTTACTGTTTGATGGACTTTGCCATCATTGAGTGAATTTGTGCGAAAGGGTGAATGTGGCACGCAGTGTAAAAGCACTTTGAGTGGTCGAAAGCTATGCAAGTACAGGTCCATTTACCATTACCATTACCAGATATTGAATGGAGGTTCACTGTTGTGAAACTGTACAGTTTGTCAGTGAATAAAGGCAGCAGCTTCCCAAAACCAAAGTAGGGCTCCTGTGTGTTGCTTCTTAACTGCTGGAACACCATTGTTATGATTTCCGCTTACGTTGTACAGTTATTGAAGTAGAGGCCCCAGAAGCGCCTCTTTTGCGTCTGGTGTGCTTTCTAAAATCACATACTGGGGTGGCATTATAGTGGTGTTGTTTGGTTCAGTGTAAAGAAAGAAAGCCGGTGTTCTTTACAGCGCTATTACAGGATCTCTGTGTAAAAAGGCCTAATGATACTGTAGTTGCTATGAACAGAGATTTTAGAATAAATTTAAAACATTGGCATTGAACATAATCAGGGATTTTCCAAATCATCCAGTAGTGTTTTGCAAGTCTGGCATTCGGTTGCTTTTTACACCCTGCGAAGCACCCAGCTGTGATTATGGGTGTGGTCAAAGCTTCAGTAGACCTTTCAAGCTATAGAAGCAGCATTGTTTTTTATTCTTCATACAAGGTCTAGTGTGGAGTTGTTAATGAGTCTGTGTGGTGTGTTTTAACCTCCCAGACAGAAATAAGCAGAGCTGATAGTAAGAAAGGGAAGGGCAGGAAGGACAGAGAAAGAGGAATATAGCAATAGACAGAAAGAGACTGAGGACATGGCAAGCTTTAGCAAGAGAGGAGTTGAGAGGAGAGCCAGTACGTGTCTCTGTTAAGAACTCTTCTTGACCTAAAATGCTCCTTCACTAAGTCAAGTCCTCAACATTTAGACATTCATGATACTCCAAAAAATCTATCCACATCCTGAAAACAAGACTTCTTCCCCAACACTGCTTTGCCTTTGACTCTCTGAAATAATTACACCATGTTCCCATGCGGGGGTAGGATATCTACAACTGTGTGCATCACAGCAATGCCATTTTCACGGCCACTTGAAAAGTGTCGCATCTAGAATTTTAAAAGTGACAAGTGTGCATGCGCACACACACACTCAAATCATTTCAGGTAATTCCCCAGCTCCTCTCATCGGCTCACTCAAACTGAATGGAGTGGGTTGTTTTTTTACAATGGGTAACTCATACAATGCATTCATATCAGTTAATTATAAAAAAGCTAGCAGGCTGAGAAATGAGATGCCACCACAATGCGCCGGCTGGACAGGATTGTGTTATGTACATTTATGATTTATGATTAGCTCCATGTAAAATAAGTCTTGTTTTAGGTTTCTTCGTAGCAGTGGAGGAATGGAGTAAAAGCTTGTGTGTGGCATGGAGCATAATTATAAGTTTGGCCCCCTAATCTATTTGATTACAGGGTTATCACTCCATCCATTTCCAATAATTCCTCGGGTATTAGCTGGAGGAAATGAGATATAATTGGATGGGTGACTGAGGACGTCTGCATATAGAAGGCTGTTGTAGTCCAGCTGATGCCTTATGGATCGAATTACTTTAGTGCCTTGCTCAATGGTAACTCCCCAGTAGTCACTGATAAGAAGAAGGGGTTACTAATTAGTTTTGTATGGAATTTTATCATCAGTCTGAATGACAGTTAAAGTCTGAGTATGCTTCAAAGAAACACCGTACAATGTGATCAAATCTCTAAGGGTGAAAGTGTTTATAGCTATTCCGACTGAGCACAATTGAAGTTTTCATCCTCCCAGCTGCGTCACACTACCTATATGATCTCTCTGCAAGAATCCTGCTTCTGTTTGTAGTCTCAAAGTGACATTTTGTATGAATGGGGACACTCCTGTCCCTTCTTGGCAGGTTTCTTGAGGTGCATGTGGAAAGTAACAGAAGAAGTTGTGTGAAGAACGGATAAAGTGAGTTTGAGGATAATTCAAACCCGTCTACTACTTTGGACAAGTTACAAAATTGTCGGAACCAGCACTCTCCTGATTCTGCCTTTGGAAAGCTGGTCTCAGACGCTGTTGGACAATCTGACAAGCACTTTGTTTGAAGCATACACAAGCCTTTACCATAGCAACAGAGTCTTTAGTACCTTTGTTTATCCATTCTGTTTCCTTGTAACTGTGCATGTTTACCTGATTATCACATTGTAGTCCTTGTTAGCACATCATTACCAAACACAACCCGCAGTGCGAGCCACACACTGCTCGATTCCACATTGATCCCCCTCCATCACAAAGTCACATTTACTCAGCGCTGCTGCCACTGTTGACTGCAGGAGTCGTCAGCACAGTGAATAAAGCAGAGCAGATGGCTTGCTTTGTCTGTCTCAGCCTTTTCATTTTGAGTTTGGATTGCAGGAAACAGAAATATCAATTACTGTTACATAGGAAGGATTATCCCATTTTCATCAAAGCACTTTTAAATGTTTACATTTCTGTTATTTCGATAGCTTTCCTGGTTTCAGTTGATTTATTTAAGTGTGGTGCCCAGCCCATATGGGCTTACAAGACACTAAAGCAACATCAGCCAAGATGGCCACATGACAAATCATAATATAGAGTTCCACACATTCCAACAAAAGAAAACATTTCATAAGATTCAATTTTCATGACCAAAATGTCATATTATGTTGGATATAGTGTTCTCTGTCTTAATTGAAATGTATTTTCTATAAATCTTCTTAACAAAAATCTCCTCCTTAAAGAGACAACTCAACAGACAACCAAAACTAATCAGGGTTCTTTAATTGGATTTATTCAAACAATTCATTCCTTAAGTCACTGTACACAGAGCAGTGAAACAGAAAATGAAATTCATTCTCAATAACACCAAGATCACAGATCACACACAAATCCACTACCATTATCAGGCCTGGTAGTTTAGTGGGCCAAGATGCAGCTTTGTCACATGGTCCCTAACTCCTTCACCTTTTATTTCTGTCTTCTGTCCATCAGAGTACAGCCAACTGCTAAGCCCAATGCATATGCAGTTTATTTCAATTGGTCCTTGATTGCATAATACTGTCTGTCAGCAGGAATGATTACTGCTAGCAGATTTGATCAGCTCTAGCTACCTCGCTAACATTAGCTGCATACGTTGGTTGAAAATGCTTAGCTTAAAAAAACATGTGTAACAATATAGTTTCAATTTTAACATTACAAGAGAAAAAAGGCTTTTAGGATATGGACTAACTGGTCTGTTTGGCAAACGCTATCAAGGCATCATTAGCCTGGTTAAACTTCCCTAAATCCAATAAAGACCAGGACAGAGCTGCTAACGTTAGCCTAAATTAACCTCCAAAACAGTAAATAGGTAAATACTGAACAGTGGATCCACTTGTCCTGAACAGAGCTTTTTTTAATCCTGACCTATAACCCCACTAAAAAATGTAAGTTCTGTTCTCTTCGGGGATAGAAGAACTGATAATATTGTAGTAAGCTGCACATGATCATGTATAATCCATTCATTTCACTGGTTTTAGTTTTGGAATCACCTGTTCAAACTCTTTGAATCCCCAATAGACAAAGGGCTGGGTTCAGTCAATGGTCAGTTCCCTGGGAATGTGTTATTTGTAATATAGCCATAAGTAAGTCTAGTGCAGGGCTGCATCTGAGGAGACTTTCATCAATGTCTTTGTTTGAATATTGGTGATTGTCAACACTGCCTGTTTCTCCACAGGTTTAGTATTGATGAAGGACGGACGTGGACTGTTCACAACTTCACCAGCACCTCTGTGTTCGTCGATGGACTCCTGAGTGAGCCAGGAGACGAGACCCTGGTTATGACGTGAGTGGATTCACAATTTCCTCATGAGAAATGTTCAATTTCAGGACTGCTGTCGGAATAATAAATAGAAAGTTCAGTTGAATTCTGAAGACTTTAAATCCCTACAGAGACACTTCCAAATCTGAGCTTCCATTCAAGTATAAGTGTAAATTACAATATATTGAATTGGGAAAGCTCTGTGGAAGGAAAAATTAACACACAGTATCTCCTTCACCTCCTATAGCTCAACCCTCTTTTCCACCCTTCACACTTCCTGCTCTCTGCTAGGTTCTAATGAGTTGTCTAAGAGGGTCAAACAGGGCAGCCCTGCCTGGCCGTACTCTACATTCAAGGGAGCTCAAGTTTCTCTCCCACCACAACAATTCCCTCTCGAACTGTTGGAGCGGGGAGCCCAATTTCGTGGCGCTAACAGCAGCTGGTCTCACTCCTGATTTCCTGCAAAGCCATCCTCTCTCTTCACCTCCAGAGGGTTTGATTGCCGTTGCAGCAGAGGTTGATGGGCGAGGAGGCCTGTACGTGCCTTCTGCCCTCATCCCTCCATCTCGCTTTTCTCCACATTTTATTTCTGTGGTTCTGCTCTGTATTGGTGTTTTGTCAGGCTCCATCAAGCTTAGATCAGTAGCAGTCTGGTACAGGTTCTCGTATTAATATTCAAAATGTCAGCTGGTCAGTTTCATGCACTTTTGATACGATGCAGGTTGTTCAATTGCTTAGATATGGAATAGAAATGATTTATTATTATTATGTTATTTCTAGGAATTAAATGCTTAAACAGCCTTAAAGTGTAGCCATCAAATCCACGGGGTTAGATTTAGGAAAAGATCATGGTTTGGGGTTTAAAAAGTCAGTTAGTTATGACGTACGCCAGTTGGAGGTACCAGACTGCGTATTTCCAGAAGCCTTCGGAGCAATGGCCGCTGTCAGACAAATTAGCTGTTGGGGTTTATCATGCTAATTTGCTAAAATACCAAATTTTTACTTTTAAACATTAGCATGTTAACATCCATGTTAATATACCTACCAGGTTAAAGGTTGTTTTTTTCAAGTCTCTCCTCTTGACCTGAAGTGATACCTTCACAGCCGTACACTGTAAGAAATGGAGGGGAAAATAGTTGGGAATCAGTAGTTCAGATCTAAGGACAGCAAAGTTTGATTTGATTGCTGTTGTGTAATCAGGAGCCACATGGGGCTGCTATCATGGCTGTAGGCTTATAGTGTTGTTGTAATTATCATCTTGAATTCAAATTTAGATTTTTCTGTCCTTTACTTCTGGGGATGCACAAAATGTCAGCTATCAGCAGCTCCTCCCCAAGCTGTTGATGGCAACTTCAAGAGTTCATATTTTTTAAGAATATATATAGTCTTTCCATCAGTCTCTCTCCCTCTTTTTTCCCAATCTCTCCATCAGTAAGTTAGCTGGAGTGAGACTTGTCACATCATCTCAGACTCCAGGCCTAGGCTCAGAGATAAGGCCAGCTTCAGGCTGTAATCTGCTGAGAAGGGCAAAGAGATGGTCACACACATACACACACACACACACAGACAGGCAGTTGCACACAAGGAGGAGAGACTTGAACACTCAGGCTCACTCACCATTATCTGCCATGTCTCTGACACACACCCCCTGAGTTGATACTCACACACACATTCACGCATATACGTCGCCCATCTGGCTCCGGCGAGATAGGGTCGGCGGCCAAGGAGGGGTGTTGAGGGCAGCTCATGTCTGACAGATTAGCCAGGGTCTATTTCCTTGCCACTGAGTTTCGATTTTTGACGGCACAGCCTGCCATCCCATAATGAAGTCTTTGAGCAGTGACTTAGCACCAAGGACAGGTGGGGGAGCAGAGATCGTCCAGCACTCATACTAATGACAGCTGGTCAAATATCAGAGACTGGACAGACTGTCACTGGGCTTATACTGCACATGCTGCTGTACGGTAGCATCATCCCAGCTTATTATTTTGCTGCTGACAAACAATTTCCACTCTTTTAGTTCCCGGCACCATGTACTGTAACAAACCCACTTAGAAAAACAAACAAATTTTTTCCTCAAAGGAGGCACCTAATCTCATTCAGCAGCAAAAACTCTCAAGACTTCCAAACACATTTCCGGTAATGTTTTCTCCTTCTTGGCTCTGTATTTTAATAAGGGAAGCTAAAGGAACAAATTTCCCACTGTTGATGAATGTTGTTTTGTTTTGTGTGTTGTTTGTCCACTAATAGAGCTCTTACAGCTCTGGAGTGGCTATTCAAATCTAGAAAAAGAAGTGCTAAATTAACTCTGCGCTGGTGGGAATTAACACACAAACAAAAAAGGGTTGATTTTTACACTTCACGCTTAAGCTATCAGTGATAATTGTACTGTTTGCAACACAAGCACTGGTACACTAAAATACTGTAGATCTAGCAGAACCCCATTGACTGGCATGTTGATGGTTCAGCAGAATCACAAGAAACATATTTTCTTGCCCCTAGGGGTATTTAGCCATGTAGACTATTTTGGTTTTATGGGCTGAGGTTTCAGGATATACACCTCTGAAACATCTGCTGCCACTCAAATACAACAAAGGTTGAACTGCATTTCATTTCAATTAATGTTTTAAAGAGTTCGGTCTAGACCTGCTCTATTTGAAAAGTGTCCTGAGATAACTTCTGTTATGAATTGACGCTATACAAATAAAGTTGAATTGAATTGAATTGAATTGAATTTGTACTTATCATAGCATTAAAAATTCATTTAAAAGACCAGTGAGTAGGTTTTAGAGTGTGTTCCAATTAGTCCAAAGTCAGAGCTGGGAATGCCATCACACCCCAGTTGACTGCGTTCTTGTACAACAAGTTGGAAAACCAAGCTCTAGCCAGGTTAGCTATTAGCCATTGTTAGCAATATCAGTTGATAACATACATTGCGCTGTATTTTGCTCATACAAACATCCACAGACAGAAGTTTGACAGCAATGTGTGTATGACTGACACAAAAGTAAGAAATGCTAATAAACAATACATTACTAGAGTTTTCACTGATTTGACGAATGGAGCAGCCATCTTGGATTTTGAGGCCGAGGTTAGTGAGGTTGATCCGACTACGAGGGAATCTGACTTCAGGGAGCGTTCTGGTTGAAATATTAGACTGGGAAGTCGGAAATTCCAAGCCAGTGTTTGGTCCGTCCCGTCTGGGCTACTGTAGGAACATGGCACATGGAAAGCTACAAGCAGTGTCTGTAGATAAAAACGACAATTCCCTCATTCAGGTGATTATACGTCTGTATTTGACGTCCTGGGAATGAGATTCAACAATCAATGGTATCTTGAATGACAGACCCCTAGTTTAAGTCTTCAGTGGAGAATAGCAGTCTGTTCATCATCATGCATCGGGTCTAGACCACTCTTGAATTTTGTTTGACCTAGCAGAAAATTCTAAGTAAGACAAAACTGCTGAAGAGGACAATTTCTTAAATCTTCCTCCTTCTTAAACTATATCCCTATAGTGCAAATCTGTTCATATGAGTTTTTTTTGCATGAGAACCAATGTTTCAGTTCCTCTGGATAATCCATGGACCATACTGTCAGCAGTTTTCACATGGACTATTTCATTGGTAGAAAGTAGGTCCAGTGAAAACTGTTCAGGGCAAATTCTGTGGATTATCCTGAAAAACCTGTACACTGTTTCTGAAAAATAAAAAAGTTGCTGTTCATTTGTCGTTGCACTTCTTTAAGCTCTACAAACAAAATGCTAGATCTAATTTCATTTGGGGTGGCAGCAGAATTCTCCAATATCTGACCATTATCAGAACACAAAACCAAAACTACCTGCATCGGTATACAAACACGTTGCACAGAAAGTGGGACCCCCTAGCAAATTAATCTGGCCCTGGCCGGTGGAAAAATCCGACTTTTTGTAATTCGAGTGAACTCAACCCTGAAAAGTACAACATTAGAAATACATCAAGTTAGAAAAAGGTTAGAAAGGTAGAGCAAACAGACTGGAGAACAGCAGACAGACCATCAGATGAACCAGAGAAACAACAAAGATAAAGGGATAAGAATGTGAAACGGCAGCATATGTGAGACCACAGCTGAGACATCCATCACTTCCCCTTAACGACGACGGCGAAGACGACATTAGTCATGCTTGCCTTGCAAGGTGATCGCAGGCTGCCACCAGCAAAGTAACATATGTCGGAGGCGCTGACTTGTGTCACATCAGTCTGCTTCAAAAAATGCTCTGACTGACATGCAAGGAAAAGACAGCTGAGTTGAGGAATTGGGAATGGTAGACATTACCCGTATTGTACTGTAAAACATCACCATCTAGTGGAGAGGAAGGGGAACTGCAGCTCTGAGAGGCCACAAAAAGAGTACAATTTCAAGGCTTTGTTTGATTGTATAGCAAAAATCATTTTTATGTTCCCAGTGGAGTTCTAATCCACATGTAAAGCAGCAAGAAAGCTGAGTTAATTATCTGTGTGTTGGAGCTTGCAATGACTGCATCAAACAAGGGACATTATGACTCGTATGTCTTCAAAAAAGAGGGATTGGATTTGTGATTTAAATGAGATTATCTAGTCCTACCTGTTTTCAAAACCCATGTTAATTAATGAGCTTTATTTGTTTTAACCTAGTTAGCAATTCCCCTCTGTTTCCAGTCTTTACACTGAGCTAAGCTCTGTGGTTATTGGCTCTAGCTTCATTTTAGCTATCCCAAAATGTGAAACTTAAATATAGAGATTAAAATATCTTTTTAGGATTACTTTGCCATGTGGTGAGAGTTAGTGGGGAATAAGTGAATTATTGTGTATTGCAGTTTTTCATTCACATGTTATGATGTGGACTTTGAGGAAGAGGAATCTGGATACTGTATTATTGGTTAAACTGGTGATATCTAGATCCCAGTCATGCTGTTTCTGATACAGATCAGATTTGACATTTGCAATTATATTATTGGCATGTCCACATGTGGAGGAATGTCATTTTACATTATGTGTTCATTTTGTATCTGTGGTGTGTGTTCGCAGTGTGTTTGGCCACATCAGCTACAGGTCAGACTGGGAGCTGGTCAAAGTGGACTTCAGGCAGTCTTTCCCCCGTCAGTGTACCGAGTCCGACTACGACTCCTGGCAGCTCACAGACCTGCAGGTACTGCAAACATGTAAATACAGTGCAGACACACATACTAACACTATATATGTGTAGGCCTGTCAGAAAAACTCCTTTTGTTGGATGATATTGTTCCAGAAATGATTGCAATAAACCATATTATTGTTATTTTAAGACCATTCTATGACATAATGATTAGCATAATAATGCAAGTACACATTTTAAAGAGCAATAAACTTTTCATTCTTCAGATGTTCAGACATTGGAATTGGAATGTTAAAAAATATTAAAATATACTTGACAAATAAAACCACACAACCAAAACAAATTGGTCTGTAATCAAAAATTGCACTTAAATAATGTTTCATTTGGCACAGGGTTAGGCTACAGAGTCATTTATTCCTTAACAGCCAATGTAATAATGGCCAGAGAAACTCAACTCACTCAATGTTGATGACATTCTTAAATGATAAGTCGATGTTGTGACAGTTTTTGATTATATTTTAAACTGAAATCTCACTTCTCCATGGTCACCCTCAGGGAGAGAAGTGCATTATGGGCCAGGAGCGGAGTTTCAGGAAAAGAAAGGACACGGCATTCTGTATCAAAGGAAAAAGCTACACCTCGGCTCTCACCACCAAACCCTGCCAGTGTACAGAGAAAGACTTCAACTGGTGAGCACTAACACTAACACTAACACGAGCAGTGTTCAGTTAGTTGCAATCTGCAAATTCACTGCCAGATACTACTGAATCCTAAACACTGGTCAGGTTAAATAAAATGGCACAGAAAGATTAAATTATATGAAACTTATAGAATTACCATAGAAAATTAAAAATTTGATTGCCAAGACAGAATCTTTGCTTCATTGCATCCACACTGTCAATTATTTCCTCTGCCATTGTGAATTATGCGGTCAGTACAAATACATTTTCATCTTATTTACAGTACATATGCACAATATTTTTTTGGTCACATTAAAGCTGACATCAAAAATATTGAATTACACATATACTTACAACGATGATACAGTGTTGCATTTTTGTTGTACTATTGTTCTATCCATCAAATGTTGCTGGCATGAAATTGCCAACAACTTTAAACCTTTGTGGATGTGTGTGTGTGTGTGTGTGTGTGTGTGTGTGTGTGTGTGTGTGTGTGTGTGTGTGTGTGTGTGTGTATTTGTGTAGTGACTATGGTTTTGAACGCTCCCATGTTGAGGGCAAACGCTGCTTCGCTGACTTCTGGCATGATCCAGATTCACCACCCGAAGACTGCCATCTAGGACAAACCTTTGAGACCAGCACTGGGTCTGTGCATGTACACACACACAACATTGCGGCAGACTCAAAGAAAGTTTTTGGGAAACATGGATATTCATTTTTTCAGCAGCGAGATGAGATCAACATCCATCTGTCTGTCAATATAGTGTCTGTGTGCTACAGGACGTGGTTAGCCAGGGAAAACAGCTAGCCTGTTGCCAAAAAAGAATTAATATTCAACTCCCCCTAAAACTGCAAGTTGTCATTTCTGCATTTCTGTTCATGAATGGATCAAACTAATGAGAGTGTCTCCCCCAGCTTCCAGTCTTTCCTTCAAAGCTAACTGCCTCTGGTCTCCAGCTCGTTATTTAATACACTGATAGGTTGATACTGATCTTCTCATCTCACTCCCTGAAAACAAAACAAAAGAAGAAAAGAAGTGCTTTTCCCAAAATGTTGAACTATTCATGGGCATACACCTCCATGCTCTTAAACTTGCACTGTCGTCTGGTGTGTCTCAGCTACAGGAAGGTGATATCCAACGTGTGTGAAGGGGGACTAAACAAGCAGCAGAGCGCCAAACAGCACAACTGCCCTCTGCTTCCCCCTCAAGGACTACAGGTCGGCATCAAAGGGCAGATGTTGGCTGTTGCGCCTGGTGATGACATCACATTCATTGTTCACCAGGAGCAGGTAGGATGAAGGTTGTTCTCTTGCCTGTTCTTCCTTTCCTTCCTCCTGTTCAATTTGAATCTGCTGAAAGTCCCTGTCCATTCCTAACAGGGCGATACCAGCAGCACCAAGTACCAGGTGGACCTTGGTGATGGAGTTAGGGCCATCTACCAGAACCTGACAGTGACGGATGAGCCCATCCAGCATCGCTACGCAAAACCGGGTGTTTACAAGGTCACAGTGAAGGCCGAGAACATGGCAGGGCACGACGAGGCCACCATGTACATCCAGGTCACAGGTCAGCCTCCCAGACAGTCACTGGATGTTTGTATATGGTTATTGGACAACTGTGTATATTCTATATAAGATCATTTATCATTAAGCTGTATTGAGCATTTATACAAAAACATTTTATTAGATATTTTTAGAAAAAAAGCTATTATCATCACTTAAATGCAAGGCTGTCAGAAAACAGCATCAATTAAAAAAATCAGTAAAGCCCACACACATACCCCATACCACTAAATTTTAATAATGGCAACCTTTTGATCCTAGTTGGGTCTTCATCCAGTCAGAATGTTTCAGATATTCTTATCACACATGTCTCACGCAGTAAGCAGCTGCCCCCTTCAGTTTGTTTAAAACAGTGTAATAAAAAATAAAGTTTTTCTAATAATGAATGTAATAAACAAATGAAAAAAGACAAACAAATAAGAATAAATGATTTGTGCTTCAGGGAAGAACATAGGCACTATGCCGGAGAGGAGCAGAAAACTATTTAGCTACTAATTTATGTGGATAGACTAATTCATTAAAAGCAGCTGCAGCTGAAGGTGTACATTAGCTTATAGAAACGTTGAGTGCATCCTGGATATGAGAGTTTAAAACTGCACACAATATTGCATTTTTCAGTACTTACGAATCACCAAGTCAAATTGAGTCTTAAGTTAGTCTGACAGCAGACAAGTTGAGTCCTGTCCCCATTTTTGCAAGGGACATGTCTGTCACCTGCACAGTCCTTTGACCTAAATTTTGTTTAAACAGAAAGATAAAGATAGTGAAAACATTCTTTTGCAGTCTGTTCAGTCATCTCTGATATGTCTCGTTGCTCAAAAACTCACCCCCTGCTGTGAAGAAGACAGGTTTGACTTGCGCTTCCATGGTAACTTTAGATTTTTTACCTTGTGGGTAGAAAAGACTCCCTGCCACTGACTGCATCTGACACTTAAATTTAACATATAAGGTAGCTCTATGGTGTTTCAGTGAGTGGGGATTGGAAATTCCTATTTTGTCTTTTACTTTGATAAGACGTCTCTGTCTTTGTGCAGCTTTAAAACCCAAAGAGCTGGTTTCATTTTGTGGGTTTAAGTGGATAATGAAGACTCTTGTGGGAGACTCACTGAACTGTCATCCCTTTATTTTGTAAAGATTATACTTGGTTCTTATTTGGAACGTTGTGTGATAATTTTCACATTTATGTTACTTTGACCTGCAAATGCATTCAAAACTAAATCATTTTTCTGCCTCTGAATAAAATAGTTTGCTTTGTAATTCCTATAAATCAGGTTTTTCCTTTTACAGCTCCTCTGCAGGAAGTGCACTTGGAAGTGGTTCCCATTGCTGGAAGAAACCATGAGGTCAATCTGACAGCCATAGTTCTCCCCACTGAGGCCAACCTGACCGTCTTCTACTGGTGGATAGGAGACAACCTGCGGGTAAAAGACCACAAACTTCATCTTGTAACAACAGTGAAATAGTTAATTAAATGTGACTGCTGTTTGATGTTGGGTTTAACATGTACAGTGGGTTTATCAGAGCTATGTGGTTACAAGCAGCAGCCTCTGTGGGTTGAATTAAACTTTCAGGGCAGGAAATCAAAACAGTGAGCTGAAAGATGTGCTGAAGAGCTCTGTAGAACTGAGGGGAATTGCAGGTTTGGTTTCACAGTGGATTCATCCCTACTTGTGACCCTTATTATATTACTCATGTCATTACTTCTATTGTAGCTATAAAAATGTTGATTATTGCGCCTTTAAACCTGCAATGTGTTTGGCCACTAGGGCAGCAGATACAGGTTGCGAACACAGCTTTTGCATATCATAATTTTTTTAATTGATATGGGGAACTTGTCAAAGCAGCTAAACAGTGAGCATAAACTCACTTTAGACCTCAGTAAAACTCAGGGGAGCTGCAGATTCAGGTGATAATTGTCTGTGGCTTTGTCACTGTCACATTGTTTGTGTACAGTATTGGTTATTGACCAATTTCATCTTGTCATCAAGGAAGCCATTCTTTCTGACCTCCTGTATACACAGCTGACCAAACTAACAGCCAGCCTGTTGTGATTTCTCCTGTAGCCTACGCTGACTCTGCAGAACAGCCTTCTGACCCGTTTCCCAGAGACAGGAGAGGTTTCAGTCACCGTCCAGGCTTCTAACGGCCGGTCCATGGTGCAGGATACCAGGACAGTCCGAGTCTACGGTAACACACTAATATTCTTTTTCCAGCATAAACATTGTTTTTTTATGTCCACTCGCCACACGGGGCGCAAGAAAAACAGTTTAACAATTTACACCATATTTCAAATGTAGCATTACTGTATATTTAAACTTACTACCTTTAAACTACCCATAACAGACAATAAGTCAAATTATTGTGGAAACATTAGTCTAGCTCATTATTAGCTTCTAACAGAGCTTTGGACAACATGTCAGTCTTACTCAGTTGTAAGAATTTCTTAACAGGTCTTCTTGGTCTCTGACTCATTCAGACACACAAACCTGCTGATTGATTAAAATATCGCATGATGTCATCTGTTGAAATATGTCCAAATAGCTTTCTACAAACCGATGCGTTTGTTTTTTTTAAGAGAGCGACTGTGCTGTTTCAAACAGTCATGTGACATTGAGGTTCATTTCTCAGCTTAACTTCAGCTGAAGCAAGCTTGAGATTGTAGTTGAATGTTCCATATAAGTCTGCTCAAAATAAGGTTTCCTGGTACCACAGCAAAAAGAAATCCCAACAACACCTGAATACCTGATTTTTAATTAATGCTGCTGTGATTGCTAACTATTACCCGGTTCTGTCCGATTCCAGATAACTTCCAGGTCATCCCACTGAGCTTCAGCACGAACCTGGACCGATTCAACCCAAATATCCCAGAGTGGAGAGAGGACATTGGCCAGGTGGTCACCAAAATACTCGCTAAGGTAGGACTTTAAAATGAACTGACTATAAATGATGATTTCAACACACACCCTGCCTGCTTTCCTTAAGTTAGCGTTCATAACACTGGCCCTCTTGAACTAATGGCTCCAGCAGAGGAAAAAGAAACAAAAAACACATCCAGTGTTGGGCGGTAACATATTACTTTTGTTACTACTGATTTGAAATGTGGTGGGCATGTAGCGTACAGTGGGTTGATGAGAGCAGTTTGTGGGGCCGCAAAACAGAAACAGAGCTAAAAGAGGCTAAAAAGCTCTGTAGAGTTTTAAGATGTGACTGACCTCAAAACCATCTTCCTTCAGATCACAGGTGTCCCTCAGGAGTCCCTGGTTACGGTGGTGAAGCCGGGCCTCCCCACAACAGCTGACCTGTACGTCCTCCCACTGGACAGCAAACCAGCCAAGAGGAGCATGTTTGTTGATAAGGTACATCTGGGAAAAACAACATTTTTGTCCTAGAAACAAAATCGCATTGTTGGTTAATATCCCTCCCCTGTAGAGTGCAGCAGGGATGATGTACTTTTGTAGGTCACCTTGGAAGTTACCATCGCCCTGGTTCCTTCGACAAAAGGTTTTCTGAGGCAGAAATGCAATCGCCAGAGTAAAAAGCTAATGTTATAATAAGCTATAAACAAACTACACCACAGTCAAATGACTTCAGTGTTACCACTACTGCACTTGTAATTGAATTGTGAAACTAAAATGTACGGATTGTAAACTTTGAGTTAGAATAGTTTGGAAGAGCATAAATACAAGGTTGTAAAGGCTGACATTTAATATCTCTGACAACCTCTGTAGTCTCATTTAGCCACTTGTTAGCAAGAGAAGAGGAGAAGGGAAACCGAAGTGCAAAAATACTAATTCAGTCCTGGGTTTTAGGACTCATTCCTGTAGCACTCTATTTTCTGAAACCACAGAGAGGCACATATTCACAATTTTCTTGTATTTTATAGTCGTCCCAATTTCAGGCCTGCAAACTTTTGGGTTGTAAGAGATGACACTTATGAGAACTGCGCCAAACAAAGCTAGTATATTCTTTAATTGAATGTTTTCTTGTCCTCAGCGTATTCCAGCCATCACGCAGGCCTTCAATGACAACAATGTCAGCTTTGTGGTGCGAGGAGGTCTACAAGTGCTGGTGATGCTAGCTGACCCAAACGCTGGTACTGTACTTTTGAATGTTATTTTATTTCCCTATATAGTCTGCTTTTTAAAACTAAAATGTTTGATGTTTTTTAATGATAATTGCATGTTATTGATTTATTTCCACGGGCTAGGTCTAATTGCTAATGACTCAACAGCTACAACAGCAGACACTGGTGCGTTCATGAACCATAAACCTGCACTTAACCTTGATACTCTCTGACTCCTGCACCTTTTCCTGTCCTGGTTTCCGAACAAATCATCTTCTCCAGTTATAACCTGTCTGTGCTGTGCTTTTTCATCCGCCTGATTATCCTTCACTGAGTTTAAAGTGGTCTTGAGTTCTGTGGAGTTGGACTTCTTTAAGAGAAACTTGTTTTGAATTTCTTACCACTTCTATCCCTCCACTCCTGCAGTTTTTGTCTTAAGATCTTCTTCTTTCTCACTACACTTTCTGGGTTTGTGTGTAAAGTTATGTTCTAATGGTGCAAACATGATGCGATTTTTTAATTGGTTTATGTATTTATATTATCACCCCAGGCTACCATGGAGCTGCTGGAGGTCCAGGTGTTTGGGCTCTAGCAGTCATTTTCCTAATCAGCATCATTGCCACCGGCTCCTTCATCCTCTACAAGTTCAAAAGGTGATTCATGTCATGTCAGAGTTACTTTTTGACCAGTCTCTACAGACAAAAACAGAAGCAGTAGCAATATTAGTTAGTGGTTCTTCTGCTGTTTCTAACCCATAGATATAGAAACATACATAGCGTGCTGTCAATATGACGTGCGTCTGCGCCATATTGGGAAGGTGAAGATCTGCTAGTTAACAGGGCTGTCAGTGAATATTTTAAATTTGAGTAAATATTAATAATTCAATTTATAATTGATTGTTTAAAAAAAGGAGCAATACTGCAGCTGTCTGGGCTGCTGCATGACAGACAGGAGTCACACAATGTCACTTTCGTTGATTGAAAATGAAATGTAGGTCAGGCTGAAACAAGCCAATTATTCAACTACGACCGTGTAGTAATGATAGCAGAAAGCTCACAACCCAGCTCGGCCGTAGAGAGTGATTTACACCCAGAGCTCCATTTGGAAATAGTTCAGTTGTGCCGAATCATAACAAGAGCTAGATCTATACATACATGTAGACTTGTGTGTTTGAGCTGGGCATAAAGTATCAACGCATGGTGCCATAGTTACCATTAGACTGGCAAGAATAACTGTGTGGGGGAAGAAAATCACTTTTGTTGAAAAATACGTTAAAGACAAATTTCCCATTTTCCACAATCAAGCAAGCAGGTGGCTTTATAGCATTATAAGCGATATGGAAATCTCAATTTTTAGAGAAACTGACAGAAGCTAAGATTCTAAATAATTTACACTGATGTTGCCCATTCATTGTGGCAGTCTGCATGCCCCAGACAGTGGAAGTTGTAGTTATTCAGAAGGTTATTTTTTTGGCATAGAGCTGATTCCATTTGCCTCCACAAATTAATTAATTCCTACAAGTAACCAGTATACCATCCAGTTTCTTACATTTATAACAAACCAAATTTCATGAAAATCGGTTCAGAATGTAGTGAGTTACATTTTGTCGTGAAGTCTCCATCTCTCAGTACTGATAACTAGCAGATCTTGACTTCCACAATGTGGCCACCACGTAGACGTATAGTGGCATCATCCAGCAGCAGCCAATGTCACGTTTCTATATCTGTGTTCTCACTAACAGTTGGATTTGTAGGCCTCCAGATTCTAATGACCCCAGTAATTACACAGTTGCTATGTTGTTCTGTAAATCAGGGGATTTACTCTCAAGAATATGGAGATACTGCAGCATACACTGAGCATGAAAACACTAATATTTCATACCTCCCAGTAGCCACACTCTGAAGTGCAGAAACTTACTCTGAGCTCATTCTTGATGTTCTGAAAATCAACAAAGTTCACAGTTGAGTTTTAAAGCATCAACAGTGAGCTGGATGGAAGCATGTTACAATACTCTTCCGGTGCATGACAATGAATACATACATTGTTAGGGTGGGCCATAGATTAGTCTTGATTAATTTGCAACAATGAGACCTAATAAGGGATGGGATGATGTACAGTTTTATCTAACCCCCTTGTGTCACTGCATGCTTGCGTTTCATGTTAATAACACACCAGCGGCACCTCCTCACGTCCCAAACACAAATGTCCACCGAAAAGTCACTTGAATTAAAACATGCAGTGCCAAACTACAGCCCCATCTTACAAAAACAACAAATCCCACAGTCCTTGGCTTAGGACTGAGGATGCCTATCCTCCACTGTTTTTCAGGAAGCTTCCAGGCAGCCGCAACGTCTACGCCCAGATGCACAACGAGAAGGAGCAGGAAATGACCAGCCCCGTCAACCACAGCGAGGACACCCAGCACATCATCCAGGGCGAGGAGTTCATCGACGATGACCTGGACTCGCAGACTCTAGGTAACGCAGGAGGTAGCCCCGCCTTCCGTTCCCTTATAAGGACTACCACTAACCACTGCTACTAAATCCCAAGCCACTAACACCAGCAGCTAACACACACCAAGGTACTGGAGGACTTCCCCTTTTTCATCATTATCACTTCTTTTACTGAAAGGCTTTTCTTTTGCCTCAAAGGTTGGTCTCAGGCACTTTACGGTCATCACCTGCATTTGCAAGCACATTCAGAACATATCATGACTATATCTTGTTACTGTGCCACAGTGCTGTGGCAAAACTACGAAAATACACTGCCACTATGGCGTTAAATTGACTTATTACTCTAATTAGATTTGTACTTAAACTGTGTAGTCTGCATTTAGACAACTGTTAACTGATGGCTGGTCATAACTGTCTTAAATGTATCCTGGATTATGGTAAATTTGTGATGTGAGTGCTCGTAGTATTTGCTTATGGTGAGTCATGTACACCAGTGTATTGATATGATATCAATATCATGTTATAACAATGTTCTAATGTAAATGTTGTGTATGTTGTAATAACATGATATTGAGCTGTTCTTTTTCTGGCATGGCAGCAATACACTGCCATACTCATGCCTTCCAAAAGCACTGACAGTATATTCCATGGCAGTATGATATAATATGATATGATGGCTATGCTTATGATGACACTGAAAGGCCTAGTGGTCTGGGATGTAGTGGAAGGTTAACAGAGGTGTTGATGGTAACATTAGTAACTATGATTAATATCATCACAAACTAATGAGAATAAACAAATCCTTAGTCTGTGCGCACATTGCTCGACATTATGACCATAACTGAACGCTGCTCTGTTATCTACCACTACATCACTGAGCGTGACCAACATTTAAAGGGCTTGTGTATATAAAACTATTATTCATTTTGCATGGATGTCAATCTGATGAACATTAAAGGTACCATGTGGAGTTCTTGACCACAAAGGGCGCTTTGGAGAAAAGGCAATAGAATATATTTCATATATATTTAAGACACTCCTGAATTATTTGTAATGGGTTAGGGGTAGTCTTTGTTTTTTAAAAGAGTTAATATGAAAATTGTATTGAGTGAATTTATTTTCCATAGCAGCTTCAGTCGGCATTGCAGATCATATGCAGCTGAGATGCACTCCCTCAACCTCATGCTGGGTGCTTTTCATTCGCTAACTTGTGCTTGCACATGTCCTCGCTCCCCCTTTGCCATCATTGGGGAGTTTCCATTTCCCTAAATGCACCTCGAGGAGAGGAGGAACAAGGAGAGAGGAGGCTTGAAGTTTTTGATCAAGTTGGCTGGGTGTGATCTAAAAAGAACACAACTTCACTTGTGGCTCACAGTGCTGCTCATGTTTGGTGTGAATGTACTTTGTAGTGTTGCATAATCTTCATATAATATAATAGAACATGGTTACATGGTGAGATACAATGCAATCATGCTGTGTGATAGTCTCACATCCTGAAAATATAGGATCATTTAATCACAAAGTGTTGCATCACACAAAGCAGCAGTTTGTATTGTAGAATAAGTAAAACACACAAAAAAAACAACACACACACATTCTTACATAATGCTAAATAATTTAGTTACTAGAAAAAAGTAGAAAAAATCAGTCAGGACTGTTTGTTGTTGTTGTTGTTGTTGTTGTTGTTGTTGTTGTTGTTGTTGTTGTTGTTGTTGTTATCATTTGAAAAGGGTTCACTTCAAGAATCGGTTGACATTGTAGCCTATATGTTAAAGAATGTTTCATTTAAACAAATATCATTAAAGAGCGTCTAAGAAAGCCTTCTGAGTACCTTTCATATTCATACCAGCTCAGATATTCATTCTATTGACCACCATCTTGGTAATCGTGAATTTTTCCCTTCTAGAATTGGTATTGTGGTCAATAAACCGATAAAATCAGTCAGGCTCCACTTTGCAATTAAATGATCGTGTAAATTCTGTGGTGTTAGATTGACAGCACACATTATATTCATCTCACCATGTGACTGTTATTGTATCTATATATCCTCATACACCACACTACCACATAGATAGAAAACCGTCTGCGTAGAACACACCGGTGCTCCCCCGAGCTGCTTTTAAGAATTTGGAAGATCCTCCATTATGGCGGGGGGGAAGGATTTCTGGGTCATGGGAGGACAGAGGATGCGTGGAAGAATAAGATAGCATAACGAAAAGCACCCATTTATCAGAAAACTCCACAGGGTACCTTTAGTGAGCCACGCTGTGTCATGATCTGGACTTTGTATTCTTTTAGCATCGCTTATTTAATTGTTGTCCTGTTTCTTTCTTCCCTCTTGTTGCCAGGCAACCATTCTGGTGTGGTCCTGAGCATCAACTCCAGAGAACTACACAGTTACCTGACCAGCTGATGGCTGCCATGGCAATGCTAACAAGCTAGCGTAGCCTAGCCTAGCCGGCTAATGAGCACAGGGACTCCACTCTGCCTTCCTCCTTCTCTCTCTTCCTCTCCCTCGGACACTTCACCTCCACTCCATGGCCTCCTCAACCCTTCAGCTCCAGCTTTTGTATATTAATTGTTTTCTTCTTTGGGGGTGGGGTGGGGGCTGAGGCTGGTCGAGGGACTTTTACTACCCTACTCAATCTCTTTCTGCAAGGGGATGCGAGGCCCTCTGCTTTACCTAATGTATTTTACATCGTTGCGAGCCCCCTTACCTTCTCTTCACGTCCCACACCAGCCCTGGAGAACTGCACTGACACCCAGTGAGGATGGAGGTCTTGATGGCGTCACAAAAAGGACACTCACTCATCTGTGTTTTAAAAAAGAAAAAAAAACTCAGTGTGTATGTTGTCTGTCACTTGTAGACACTCAAAATCAGCGAGCATGACCAACCGCACTGGTTTCCAGAAAATATTCACAGTCAGAGGAGGTTGAACCATCCATTGGCTGCAGCCACTGAAGGCCAAACAGAGTGCATTAGGGTAGTCCAATTAAAAATATATATTTTTACTCCTCCCCCTTTTATTTTTATTTTAGTTTGTTTCCCACAATTACTAGATACACTCTCTTCACAGGCAATAATAGTCTCTCAATGGAATGTAGGATATGAAAAACCCTTGAATTTGCATGTGACAAGTGTACACATGCAAACACAAGAGGGCGGTGTTGCACTTTCTTAAATTCCCACTCACAGGTACTTGGAGCGCACAGCTTCTTTGGAATATATTGTATGTTTACACGTTTTTGAAATCCCACTACATTCATATCTTGTTTATAAGTCCACACATTTACAGAAGTTTGTTGAGTGGTGTTTAAAATCAGCACCACCCTTGTAGGAGCTCATCGTCTGTCCCATGGTGCCTAAAGCAGCAGATGTGAATCTGCTCAGTGACATTACCCATTGTCCAGTTTATTTATTTCTAAAAACAGTATGCCCGTTCTTCCTCTTCCCTGCACTTTCTGGGTCAGAGGTCAAAGCCGACTCGTTCCCCATGGAGACAAAGGCCGCTGTCATGGAGGGAAGGTGTAGTTGATATATTTTACTGTATCAGCCTATATTAGGCGTAGCCCGCGGTGGAATCATGTCTCCTTAAAGGTTTGGTTTGTTGTATGTAAATGTGTATATATGAACAATCTCCTCTCTGTACATATTCCCTTTGACGTGTGTGTTTTACACTGCTACCAAAATACACAGCTTTGTTTTTCCTTTTGGAGTGACCCTTCACCAAGTTGGAATTTGAAAAATTCTCACTGTTTGCAGTTTCCTCAACGCGTTGCCTGCTTCACATGTATCCATCTCCAATACTTTCAGTGTAATCTCATGACTAAGATAATTTTATGGTCTTCATTGTTAACTGGAAATAATTTCATCATCTTATAAAAAGGTACTCACAACTACACAGTGACAACTATGTATATGGATATTTTTGATACACTTCAGTCAGTTTTTGTCAGTTATCTCAGAACGTGTAAAACACTGGTTATTGTTTCTGTTGCCTTTTGCTGAAGTCTTTTTGTTTGTTTGATTGCACTAATGATATAAGCATTGCTGTCAACACGTATCGGACAGCAATTGAACAAGTCTACGGACTGTATCAAAAGGTCTTTGGATGAAAGGCCTTTACAGACTACCAATGCTACCATTAGCACCAAGATCACCCCTTGGTCCGTCTTGTATTTGATACGAACAGCAGACCACATTCACTTGTTCTGATTTACACCTTAATTCATTTTTTGTACATATTCTGCTCATGTTCTACTTGTTAGTTTTCTAGTGATGTGTCGTCATTGTATCAGTGTCCCCTTTAACAAAGGGGAAAGTGGGAATTGTGATATTCCGATATAACAGTGAAGGAGTTTCACAGCTGATGGCACCGATCGTGTAATTTTGACCACACCGTTTTCTTTTCCTCTTTCTGCTGGTTTATTTGGTTTCTTGATTTTGTTATTAGAAACAATTGTGTGTCCTCATCAGGGAGCGTAGTGCACTCAACCTGCATCCTGGAATAAATCACTCCCATAACTTGTACGTCTGTTGGTTTTATCTGATTGGATACACACTGTGTCAGCTTGTGCTGGTAAGTTAATGGGAATTCTGGCTCCTTTAGTGATCATTTGGCTCCGCTCACCAATGAGAGCCAGCTCCCAAACAGCTCTTCATTTATGGCTTTTATAATTCAGATAAAGTCAGCAATGTTTTACCAATGATTGGTAGCTGCACTTATATCAGTTAAATTGTTCAATGGGATTATACTAAATCTTATTAATTTACAGAATTGCAGAATTTTTACCTTATGCTTGGTATAGATAATGAAAGAAAATATATAGAAACGTTTTATTGGTAGTGACTTATGTTTTGTATGTTGGTGGCTGGTGCAACATACAATAGTGTCACCATGCTTGGGTCTTATTGATTTTACCAAAGCCGGACATTTCTGGATTGTATTTAACGAATGTGTTATAGGATCCTATTATTATGTTTTTTATTAGCCTAATTTATAAAACCTGAGAAAAATGAGTGCTGTACTAGGTCTGCACTGGTTTGTTAGGCTTACAGGAACTATAACAGTGACACAACCAAAACAGCAGCTTTCAACAGTGGCGCCAGTTCACTCAATGACGGCTTACTTTAAAGAGTATAGTACTTTTTGTAATTTAGGAAATAGGTATATAGTATATCATTTGCTTTGTTTACAATAGTGAGGGGAGATAATACATGTTTGCATTGAAGGGGACCTATTATACTTTTTACTGTTATTGTTTGAAAATCAATACCCCTATAGGATCTAAGGGTTCGTGCGGTGGCATGTTGGGTCCTGTTTATGTAAGTTGGTAGACTGCTCTATTGAAGTGTCCGGATACTGAATGCACACAAATAATTATTAAGGAATATTAGTTGACTGTACAATAAAAGTGCATTATATAGGTTGTACTGACCTTTAAAGATATTTCAACAGGTACAAAAGAATGAGGTATATCCAACGAGTGAAATCAAGTTATTCTGGGGCAAAAAAAAAGTCAGTTTATATGATTGTTAAAAAATCATAATAAATACAGGATATAATCTGCTAATTCATCCAAATCACTCCTTTTCCACACACTTGCTGCAGTTTCTGAGTTCACTATGTAGGTTAAGTTTTTAATATAATATAAAATATCCATACAATATATCACTGAGTCACTTTCCTGAATGATATGAAAGGATCCCTTAAGGAAAAAGGTTTGTTGAATACCATCCAGAACATTCAGTTTAATAATGCAATGAAGACCCAAGCATTAAAACATACTTACAAAACATAGTTCAATATAAATGAAACACAACACGTGTGTGTAATAGCTGTTGATGTTTTTACCATATTTTAGGATTTTATACCAAGCATTATGTAATAATATGGCGTTCTGGGAATTATAAGGGTTTGCATAATTACACAGAATAATTGAAGTGCTATATTTGTACACATACAACCATAGGTATAAACATTGCTAAATCTGACTGTAGTTTAAGCCAAAAGTAGTACTATATGCAGAGCTGCTGTTTCTGAGCTGAGCCAGAGCCTGGTTCAATAACAGGAGCCTACGTCAAGAAATGTGTGACATGTGCCATAAAAATGAAATGGCCATAAATGTGGTCAATAAAGGGACTACAAAATATACTTCAATTGCATTAGACCATTTTCTGAATGGCTTTTTTAAAAAAGAAAATTTGGGTAAATAAATGTTCTGGAGGCAATAAGAATAATTTGCACTGGCACATTGCCTCCCTGTCCCACTATAACCAGTCCACTCTGTCTTCTGTCAAACTGAGTTTGTGAGCTGAAGTCAGAACTGCGTCAGAAACTGTAAGAAACAGCAGAAAGTCCTCAAACAGCTCACACAATGACAGAATTTAAACAACGGAGTAAATAGAAAATAGAAAGCAGCGCTGGAGGATCCACTGTGGGCATTAATCACCTGTTGGTAATGCAACATCTAAGGTGTGTTTGATACGTGCCACTTGGCGTGCATTAAATCAGTGATCTGTTACTGTAATTTAACCCATAACAACGTCGTGTTTAAAGCAGGTAGGTAACTTTTATAAAATAACTTTTTGTCATATTCTCTGAAACTTTCACCATATTCTGACAGTAGTACATGAGACAGATAATCTGTGAAAAAAACAGGTTCCTCTGGCTCCTCCTAGTGCTCCTTATCTCATTTACAAGAATCCACTGGGCCTGAATGAAAACAACGAGTGTGTCTCATGTTCTACTGTCAGATTGCTCTGCTCTCCTGCAGCCGCAAACACACCAGCAGCTTCTCGTACTGCAGCCGCTCATTTGGCTCCTTTCTTCTGTTTCATCCTCAGTTTCAGGACTTTTTAATCTGAGCTTTGGAGCATTGGAGCTATTGGGAATATATAAATACTAATATAAAATACAAGAATGTTATGTCCTAATCGTCTCGTAAAGTAATATAATTCAGCATTGATTTGGAGTCTGTATGATATAATATTATAAATAAATATCAATATAAAATACAAGAAGCATTAGAAATCTATGAAAAGAGGTGTGTCCTACTTTTATAATGTAGTAATATAATTCTGCATTGATTTGGAGTCACTGCGTCACATGACTTGGAAGAATTGAAAAGAAACTGCGAATTTCTTCAGTAATTTATTGACGGCCCCTAAATGCAACCGCTGTGGTTAACAGTGAGAACAGCCAAGGGATGGAACTGAAGACAGTGCTGAGTCTGGAGTGAACGACTCAAACTAACTTCACTGCAGTATTTCCATGGAAACACAAGAGGGCAGTGTTGCACAGGTACTTTAAGAGCTCAGTTTACCTGAACTGTACAAAGCAGTCATTCAAAGACACAATGAGACAGTGTTGATGCAACTGGAAATGGATCAGTTGTCAATTTTATCAGTTTAATAAAAACTGGTAAAAATGTATTCTTTGTTTCATTCAGAAGAAAATCACATTTCATTGAAATATTTTACACCATATCGATGGGGGACTACACTCAGGCGTTGGCTACCCAGACCACTGGTTCCCAACCTGGAGGTGCAAGAAAACTTTTAATAGTTATATACAGTTGACCTATACCTCAGGATTTCTAAATTAATATATATATAAAAATGAAAAGGAAAACAAAACGAAGACCTGGACACAAGCTATATTCACAGAGCCTGACTTTCCTCACCTCCAGCCTCATCATCAGCCTCCTGAGACATATTATGGAAGCAAAATAGGCCCAAATCCCAAATTGATTGAAGAAAACAATGTTTCACCTTAAACAAAAATGTGTTTCCAGGTCATATATATGTTTTAGTTGGAAGAAAATGTAATTTCATTAAAATACTTCGATAATGATGAACAAACCTCTAGGATGTATTCAGGTTTCTGTACAGTGATAATAGTACTGTATGTCTCAGCAGAAATAATCAACATTCACCACGGATTACACGTAAACACAAGTACAGGTGGAATCTTAGTTTCTTCCTCATGGAAGACTCTTCCATCAGGATGCTCTCTCCACCTCAGGCTGACTCCACACACTCCTCTCTCCGTTAGTCTGTCCTGGAGCTGGGAAACACAGATAGCAGCCATTTTTATTCATTTGTGCACTTTATATTTAAACCTCCCCTCCTCTCGAAAATCTGTTTCTGCTTGTTCCTACAGCGTGATTTAGAAACCTGAAGCCACCAGTGCACATCCACTGAGAATGGACTTCACAGTGAAGTAGCAGACATCTTGTGTCCAGCAGGGAAACTTTAGAAATGAAATGAATTAGCATATTCAGAGATTGTGGAAGTTTTAATGAGGCAGAAGGAGAAAGGAGGAAGTCAGACTTGTTTGCAGTTACAAAGTACCTGTTTCATGTTTCATGCCAGACAGACGTTCTCATTATTTATCCTGACATCATTCTGTGATCGCAGTGGCATCACAGGACCACTAGGGTTTCGAGTGATTTGTTAAATTAGGTAAAAGTCATACCACTGTCTCCTAGAAATTACATCGGTATGTTACTAAATTTGTTTTCAGGATTATATTCTGAGACAACTACATTTATATAATGCAGTGGAGTCACAGGGAGGTGGTTGGGGTGGATGGCCCCCAATCCTGCACAAAACGCACATTGGTTAAGGTTTGGGAAAGAGTGATTAGCAGAGCTGCATAATGCTGTAGTCACTATGAGTGGATAGCGTAGATTGCCTATTTTGGTGGAAAAGAAATTAAATCGATAAATTCCTTCAAAACCTATTCACTGTTGCAAATTAGTCCGATATTTCTGGAGACAGAACCGAAGCAGCAGAAAATGTAACAATCCAACTACAATTATATAAAAAAAGTACAGCATGTGAGTAAATATACTGACCTACTGCTGCAGATATGATGTCAGCACAGAAATGTTAAACTTGGTTTGAGGTCATTTATAAACTATCCACCACAGATTGACTTTTACACTGTAAAATATCTCAGTAGTCTGTATCAAAAAGAACACATCTAAACATTATTAAGATTGTTGTTTGTTATGTGTTTATGTTTTTGAAATGAAATCAGATGATGGGATTTTTTTTTTTTTAACTACTAAATCTCAAAAATCCAGTATGAGTTGGGCCAGGCTATGACCGATATCTCATGTAATGCAGCATTCTCTGTCTTCCACTGAAGGTCAGTAAACTACTCATCAGGTGTAGGGACGCCGTAGCACACAAATGGTAAACTAGTTTCACAGAGAAAAAAATAAAAATAAATTCAAAATAATCTTTATCGAAGTAGAAAGAATGCTTCGCTGGGTATTTACCATTATCACAGATGAATGCATATTGATATGTGCAAGGATAATGCAGCCGTGCTCTACCACTTAAAACCAGAACACAATCGTAAGTATCCTCATTTAAACATTGGTTCAGTGTCCCAGTCCCTGTATTCAGCTCCAAACGCTCTGTAGCTGTCTGACCACCTCCAGCTGTTCTCAACGGTGGCCAGGTGTGTGTACATCTCTCTGCAGTAGGTCTGAGCTTCGGTCCAGTTCATAAGATAAGCAACGTAGTGGTACTGATGGAGCAGGCATGAGGGGAAGATGTTCCACTCTGGGGAATGTAAGGTGGAAACACTGACCTGAGAGGTAGAAGATCAAGAGGAACATCCTCATGATGCTGCTGTGGACTGTGTGTGTCGATGTACACCACTGAGAGGAAACACCACCTCTATATCTGCTGTACTTCATGTAAAAAGTGTCACATGAACAGACTTTGTTTATCTCTGCATTTAACAGCCAGGGTGTTTTGGAGAATTGGAAAGGATAAGACGTAAATACATGGAAATATATTGTAATTCTCAAAGGCAGAGTTCAGGGTGCTGTGCTGTCCATCTCTGTACCTGTGCATGGCGAGGTTCCACACAGGCTGAGAAACCAGACAATAAAGACTGAGGGGTCAAGCAATGTGAAGAAAGAAAAGAAAATCCTTCCATTTGAGTCCCAGATGATCCAGATGTAATACAGCCAGCCGTCGGATATGAATACAGGCTTTGTTTCTGTCGTTTGGTTCTGTTGAGGTTCCTAAAAAATGTGTGTGTGTGTGTGTGTGTGTGTGTGTGTGTGTGTGTGTGTGTGTGTGTGTGTTGTGATGCCCATCATAATGTCACCATTAGTTGCTGTGAGCAGTGGAGGACGGATAAAGCAGTTTTATAGTAAATGAGACGTTGTAATAGAAACCTTTCTTCTTGAACTACAACCTCCTCAATAAAGCACAGAGTCACTGAGGGCTGTTCGTCAGGAGCTTTATTAACGTATGTACAACATGTCTGTCACCGAGGCGGAGACCGTCTGAGAATACAACAGAGTAGCAAATGTATAAGGTGCAAAAACAAACACTGATGTATGAGTGTGTACTCGCCCGCCCCACACCCACCCCCCTCCCACCAAGCCAAGCTATGTACAGCAGGTTCACATTTACTGACATCAGTTATAAGCCACGCTGAGCCGACAGGGAATCAGAATGAACTAAATACTTGTAGATATAACTCCCCATGCGCCCCCGTCTTCATGCTAACATGCTGACTACGCTCTAGATGGCAGACTGTGGGCTATCCATTTGAAAGCAGGAAGGGCACAGAAAATATTTACAAGGTTGAGTTTGCGCGCCCACGTGCTGTATGCAGCATTGGTTTCCAAACTCTAGCTGGAGTGCATGCTAACGCTACTTCTGTCAACAATAAAGCACCGCGTATACTCAGCAGTATCAACATGGCTGCAAAGCGTGAGCAGTGGAATGTAAAGCCATTAAAAAAGCACCATAAAAACGTGACATTAATGAGTGAGTGTGTGTGTGTGTGTGTGTTTGTGTGAAGCAGTCTGAAAATCAAAGTCACAGTCTTTGATTCAGCAGAACACACAGCAATTTGAGTTTACAGCAAGTGCCTCTATTTCAGTCAGTGTATTGTTGATGGGTTTGGAATGTGCCTTGGAGACATTTTAGCGCGCACACACACAAACACACACAGAGTCAGATCACAGGGCTACAGTAAACCAGTGGCGTGATTAGAGGAACTGGACCGAGGCTCTTGGACGAGGGACTACTGTCAGCCACGTCGTTTGAGGTTTCTGAGTTTTCCAATGACGGGCGCCAATTCTTGGGGTGGCCACGCCTCAGCCTGACCTACCCGGCTTTCCAAACTCTAACACACACCCGGCTAAAGTCTTTCTACAGCCTAATGACAGCCACCCATCATCACACTGAGGGACTATTTAAAGAAGCATAATTAAGCATTAAAGGGACATTGTGTAGTGTTTTAAGTATTTTATTAGCTCAAATAAATGTCTTCATTCATAAATGTGTCCTCATTGGTGTAAAATGACCTCTGCCAATGATCTGACTTATCCTCGTAAGCGAAGAATTTCTTATCTGTATATACATTGGACGGGAAAGTCCATGGAGGCTTCCTAGCCTACCTGTCTCGCTAATCCACAACGCGTTTTCGTTCAGAGCCAGCGTCACGTGACTGAAACCAGCTATAACGGAGAAGGAGATCAGTGAGAGGCGCTTGTCACTGCCCCGGCACATCTGAAAGTCTGCACTGCACTTTAGTTAATAATGGAGGATCATACTTATGCCGAGCCACAGGAGAAGGAATCCTCGTCGCCAAAAAAGCGAAAAAGGGAATTAAAAAGGCAACGTGACTGGCGAATTCGGAAAACATCGGGGTAGCTTTTCCCAGGTGGAAAGAGCTAATGAAGGAGAAAGACTTGCAAAGGGACGCTGAAGTTGCCTGCTTTCTCCTCGACAGGTAGGCTTCTTGGTACATAACGGCTACCGTAGTTGCAATACGCATTTGAAAACGCGAGGCGCTAGAGAGCACTATTCGTTTGAATGCAAAATACAATTTCACCGCTAGATGGGAGAAATTCCTACACAATGTCCCTTTAAGTTAACATGTAGGTTCAAATTAAAGTCCTTGTGGTAAATAGCCATGCAGGTACTTGTTTTGCTTACTGTTTTATACGGGACTATTTCCCACTAAATAAATACACAGCTTGCTTAATGTCCTGAAAAAGCTAAGAGGTAAAATCTGAACTTTATGGCTAATTTGTTTTTTGTTGTTTCACTGTTAAAGGGCTGTTTTAGTGCTTGAGCATATTTTTGAGTTTATCCGAACTCCTTATAGGAAAATGCATCTTCTCCAAAGCTGAGAGTTTAAATCTTTTTTTTAAATTTTTTTATATCAATTAGTTTTGGCTGTACTCCTGAATATGCATACATTATTTGTAGAAAGATAAATAAACACTGTCATGATCCAGAGGGAAATGTGGGATATATTCAATTTAGTCGAAAGGAAATACACATAATAAAAGTATATATAGGTTAAAGTATTACCCACCAACATACCTTCATATTGCATGCAGGTCAGGGACATAATGCACCTGTGAATTAGTGTCTCTGCTGGCTGGAGACATGGCAAAAGAGTCAAAACTATTCCATTAAAGAGCAGTTCATCACTTTGTATGTAAAAATGTCCTTAAAGTGTCCCAACAACAACCAAACCGAAGCAATTAATGGCGTCATTATTTGTGGGGACGGGACACTCTTAAGTATTACAGCCGCAGTTTGTGACCCTGAGCAAAAAAGGTTCATTGTCTGCACCCATACTGCTTTGCATGTATAGGTTCTCCTCAGTTTACAGTCAGTGTCTCACAGCCACGCACAACCTTGCTTCCATCTATTGCCTTTCATTTGGAATAATTCTGCTTCTGTAAATACCCCTTCGAGCGGAGCGGAGCTGTTACTCAGCCGGTGTGTGTTGTGATTATTGTGACCATTAATGATGCACTTTGTTTGCTGATGCTGACACCCATGAATGACAAGCATTAACCGTGTAGGGAACGGGATTCTGTGGAGCGCCACAAATTCTATAACAAAAAATTTAAATATATCAACATAAATAAAGAGGGAAGCTAGTATTTCCTTTAAACATTTACAAATAAATACTTGGTTTTGACCTTTAACCTTTTTGAATCCAAACTGTCAATCTGCTGGAACAGATTTGAATGAAAGGAGAGAGAAAAAGAAGGTGGTTGCTTTAAACGAGTACGGCGGACAACACAGGTTGCACAACTTAGTACACTGAGCATGCTCAATAGTATAAAACTTTAAAAAGGTTGCTATGTCTGTATGTGTGGTAATGACAGTACACTTAAACCAGCAACTAGTTTTGGTTCATGTGAATGCTATGCTTGTGTCCTCCTCAACACATTCTCAGACTGTATGAACAGTTTTAAATAAATATATACACAATTCCTTAAAAAGTCAAAAGAAATCAGAGTAAGACGATGTGAGGGGTTGGGTGGTTTATGTGCCATTCTTCTGCTCCCATTCCTGCAAAACACACACACACACAGACACGGTTAGTTTACATTCGTCTACACATTTTACATGTATTTGCCTTTGATATTCAAATGAGTGTCACTTTTATCCCCACTTTGAATCTGTCTTCATTAATTAAGTAAATTAAGATAAAGCAAAAGGCATGATGAAAAAAGTACCTTCAAGCCTAAGCTAAAATAAAGCTTGTGTTGATGAATATGTGTTGCAGGTTTTTGCACAAGAAGCACCTAAATGGGGAGTGTGTTATGGACAGTAGCATTTTTCCATACACATGTGCTGGCTTGGTTCGACTGCACCAGCCCAGCGTGGCAGGGATTTGCATTTCTTGAAGCTGTGTCTTTAAGGGCAGAGATCCGTGATCATTAATCAATCAAGGTTGAATGAAAAGCGAGGGACAGGTATTTTTTTTTAAGAAAAGCCAGTAACTAAGCTCTGCTCTGGTGATAAACAGAATTTAACTTCTTATAAATTCTTTACAATAAAAGTTCTGTTATTTAATTATTTAAGTACTTTTATTATGAAACAGTAAAAACAGGAAGTGTGTTTCTCCTCGACCCTGCCACAAACATGGACAAGGAATTGCTGGCACTCAAATTATTGTTCTAGATGACTCAGGTCTTGGTTATGAAGTCCTGAGTCAAGGTTATCAATACACTTTGTGTTTTAGGTCATAAACAAGCCATTAGGTGCCCTTAACCAAATATATGCATTACTTTTAGGGCTGGGACGGTATGCTTATCTCCCGATTCAATCCCGATACTTGGGGTGCCTGTTCGATATGTATTATGATTCTTATTCTACAAGTACTGTTTGTGTATTACAATTCATCTCGAATTTTGTGTTTTTTAAACCACAGAAACTGTAATCATTTCCAAAAACATTGCACATCATTTAAAAAGAGTATCATGATTATATTTTCATCTCACTGAACTCAATCTTTACATATTTGCATCGTGATTTAACCATCTTGTGATATACCGTTACATTCCTACTATATAATAGCCACAGATTTGTAGATGTAACAGCTAGCACATATATTAACAAACTCCTATACAGCGCTCTAGCCCCAGCATGCATTGTGAGCTCTGACCTTGGCCTTCCTGAGGACGTGTCCCCGGACTGTCGAGGCCTTCTGGCCGCCCTGCTGCCGGCGGAGCAGTGAGGCGCTGTTGACGGGCAGGGAGCAAGACTCTGTGTCGCTGGTGTCACAGCTGGAGAAGGGAGAAGACTCCTGGGTTCGTCGCGACATCGCTGGCGACTGCGCACACACACACACACACACACACACACACACACACACACACACACATCCACAGAGGTTTAAGGTTGTTGGCAATTTCATGCCAGCAACATTTGATGTCTGAACTGTCTTGGAAGTATCAAAGCACCATAAGATCAACCACAAGATGGTCCGGGGGTTCCAAGATGTTCTCACCTGGAGTCCAGAGGAGCCAGCTTTCGGTTCTATGGTGAGGCCCAGGGTGACCCCCCCGTTCAGAGCTTTCTTCAGGCTCTCCTTCACCTCCGTCATCTCCAGTTCCAGGTTCACCCGCTCCTCCTCCTTCTGCCTGCAGTTCTCCTCCACCTTCTTCAGTCGCTCCGACAGCGAGGCGTGCGAGCGTTTGCCTAGTGAAGGAAGGGAGGAGGATTTTTCTGTGAATGTTTAAGATACTTGTACTTGGCAGCTTTTCCAGACCAAAGACTTTCCCAAACAATTTAGATTTCAGACAGAACTCCTCCATTGAAAAAAACGTTAACATAAGGACTTCTAATTCTCTTTTACCAGCAGCGGCCTCCACAGCAGTGCGCAGGTCTCTCCTCTCCTTCTTTAGCTGGGTCAGATGGTTCCTGATCTCCTGCTTCTTCTTCATCAGCTCTTCCTCCTTTGACTGCAGCCGCTTAGCGTCGGCCTCCACGCGGTTCTTGCCGTACTTACACTGCTCTGCATCTGCAAGACGAAGACTGGGTGAGAAAAAGATGGATACACAAGGCCCGACTACGATGCAATGGCTGAGCCATCCGCATGTTTCTGTTTCTAACACAAGTGTCCAAATCAGATGAGGATTACTCACTCTGCTCTGGATTAGATACAAATCTTCATTTAAAAGGTCTTGGAGTCTTGTCAAACATTGATCCAGTTCAATTAGGTAATCCCATTCAACTGACCTTTACATAACTGGGACTCATTTGCCACAATTTCCTTTTTCCTCAGCAGGCAACATTGGTTGTTCCATCAACTAACACAGCTACGATCAGTAGAGGGACTATTCTAACTTACAATCAGTCACTCTTCAGTTTTTGGAAACTGCAAGCAAGATTTTTCAGTATTTCAAGCAGGAAATGCTGTCCATGACCTGTAAGATTAGGTTCCAATGGCCATGTCCATTTGAGATCTGGTTCCATGTATCTGGACTTGATTGATGGCTGATTATTTATAGCTTTATTGTTAAAAGTTAAACCTAAATAGATCCCACAAGGAGTTTAATAATGGTTTAAGATATGAATATAATGCCATTAATCCCAAACATCAACTCCACATCAAAACAAGGCTGAAAGATCCCCAATTTGAAGAGTATTGTGTGATGGTGCACTGCCCATGATATCTGAAAATAAGAGATTTAGATTCCAGGACAACAAGAGCCCAAACCAACACATATCGGAAAAGGAGAGCATAGCCTTTTTTATCAGGGCACTGGTAAGAAATGAACTGCCCAGAAACCCACTGAACTCACAGCCACAGCCTTAAGCAGTTATTAATTACACCAGGACCATGGAAAATACACTGAGGGTAACCATCAAACATCTGTGTGTCTATGTGCGTGCATAGGAACTTTGCTTCTGAGGAATCACTCAATCAAACCGCCGCTGACATTTTCAAATTCAATACACTTATTTGACACTGGAAATCTGAGAATTGTGTGGCATACTCTAAATCCAACATGACACATATTTGGTATTTCCATTCCGACATTTGGAAGACTGACAACCCTCCTCGTTCGCACATTAGGCAAAAAATATACTATTCTAAACCACAAGGATTAACATGACCACATTCCACCCTCTCCCAACGATCTGGGCTCCACTTCTGCTATCGCGTCTCTTTGAGCGTTTCCCCAACGTTGGCAGGAGGTTCAGGTCTGGCCCACTTGCGTCACACGGATCGTCTCGAGGGTAGGGTAGGTTTTAGGTTTTTGAGTTATTTACTCCCCCCTACTTAAACTAACTGTAATTTGGACATCCTGCGTTCTCCAAATTGCTGTGGAGCGGAGTTTCACTAGAAAGCAATCAGCGGTGGTGAGGCTGGGAGCAGGGAGCCAGACACACTGTCTGATTGCTCGCTCACAGCACAAGAACTGACTGGGGAAGGTGGACCACTCTCAGAAGTTACTATTTTATTTTGATTTAATAAGAAATGACTGAAAATGTAATTTATAGTATAAGTATGACAAGACCACTTCAGTACATTCTGTTTCAACTTACTGGAGTTGTTGCGTTTCAGAGAAGCTGTCCCATTCGTCCCATTGAATCCATTCTTCTTGGATTGGTTCTTTGGCTCGGCCTTCTGTTTCGATGCCACCCCATTGGTCGCTGTTCCCTTCTTTCCCTTCAGCTGATTGGTGAAGAACAAGATGGAGGGAGACATTTTTTCAAATTACTTTTCAAATATCGAATATCAAAAAATACCATACTGTATATGAGCTACATATGTGTTCTATTTGTTCCAAAAATTGTACCAAAACAAAGATGGATGGATTAGTGTTCTCTATTAGAATTATGGAAAACATTGAGGATATATTTGAAAAAAACTAGAACTTGTATTATAAACTTACTACTCAATTATGCTTTTATCATGTATAATACAATTCATTTCATTTAAATTAGTTTCCCTTTAAAATTTATTTTTTTATTACCACTTGGGGGTAGTAGAAGAAGCTAAAAACACAACATTGACAAAATATCACCTACTCTCTTTTTAACTCGGTTTTTGTCCCCAACAACACTGATCAAAATACTGAACTGAAAAAAATATCAGGCTCTTATCTGCTAAATGCTTCACTGTGTTCACTAGCTAGTCTCTAACTGTGTCCGTCTGTCGTGTGGTGCTGGGAAGGTAGCGTACAGTGGGTTTATCAGAGCTTTTTAGATGAAAACAGCTTCCTACTGCACCGCAAACAGCGCTGTCAAGCTGAGTAAACCAAAACCGTAACATTGTGGGTGGTAAAACCAAAACAATAAGCTTAAAGATGCTAAAAAGTACTGCAGAGTTGAAGGGAAGTGCAAGTTCATAATTATCTGTGGGTTCAGTACACGTAGTCACTTGACCATTGTTAAAACCAAAAGAATTCTACACTATTATGACATCTTGTCCACAAGAACAATGGTCTAATGATATAACAGTCTAACTTTAACAATAAGAAAATATTCATTCATTGTTTAGCTAAAAACGATATAGCAGGAAACAAAAAAGATAAAGATAAAAATCCAGAGTTAAAAAAAAGGCCTGCAGTCTGTTGTACACCTCATTGGATGAGAATCTACTTCGTACAGTGGAGCGGGTACTTTGTGGTCTTGGAGGCAGTGTTAACACCCCTTGGCCACGCCACACACAGCACACACATCAAAGAGTTGGCGGGGAGGAGGCGGAGCTCCATACAACACCATGTGGTGACTTATGTGGCTGTGGGTGGCACTTAAAACGGGGCTGTAAAAAAATAAATTACACACACAGCTGATGCTCATTGTAAAGGAGAGGAAGAAATACACTATGTGGGACAACCACACACACACAGTCCATACATACACACTCTCTTCTCAACATAAAGAAATCAAAATCTAAAACCAGAGCTTATGCAAGAGCTTTCTGTGGTATATAAGTATTTAAAAACAGAAACAAATTTGTTGATCAGTTTGAGACATCATTGATATCAGTGATCAGCTTGGACTAGAGCATGTCTAACTGAAGGTGAAGCACATGTTGAGTGTTTCCAAAGACTGGACACAGGAATGATTTCAGGCCCAGTCGTATAATAATAATTATAATTGAATTGAATTACTAAGAACTACACCACAGAGGGAACACGACTCATAGATTGATGGGAAGAGAGAGGTGGGTTTGTGGGTGGCCAACACCTTATCTGGTAAGTCAAAGCATGCTCCTGCAGGAATAATAAATAAAATGTCCTCTTTCCTTCGGCCAAGCACCTCTCACTTTGACTCGTTCATGGCACATTTAAATCAGGAGCGTCATCTTTTCAGTGAAGGGGTGCACTGTAGTGATACTCATAGATATCAGCTTCAGGGAATGGATCAAACGTCAATGTGTAATGTGAAAGAGGTCACTTCTAGAAACCAACCTGCAAACTCTAAAGTTCCCTCAACCTCTATGGAGGATTTTAGACTCTTTGAGCTCTCTTCTAACACATCAACTTTAAGGACAAACTGTTCACTTGCTGCCTAATATATCCCGCCCACTGACAGGAGCCATTATAACCAGATAGTCAGTGTTATTCACTTCACCTGTCAGTGCTCACAATGTTATGGTTGTATAATATAGACACACACAAAACAGAATCATAGACTGATATATTATAACAGTGACAATGTGTGTTAAACAGTGAGGGTTAAAGAGCAGAGTGTTAGTCACCTGAGTAGTGTCTTTAGTTTTAGCATCAGCAGTGAGGAACTTAGAGGAGACTTTAGAAACAGGGGTTTTGTAGTGAGTAGTAGAGGTGGAAGAAGAGGAAGGAGAAGAAGACGAAGTCTTGGGAGGAAGGCGAGTGGCCCGCTTGGGCGGGGGCATGTTCTCATAGAGGTCAGCATTCTCATAGTGCACCTCGTCTTTCAGCTGGCGCCCCCCTGTGCTGGGACTGGAGTATAGCGCCTCTGGGTCCTTGGGTTGGACCGGGCAAGCATGCAGGCAAGCAGAGAGAAGAGGAGAGAAAAGGAGAGGAGAAGAGACATAATAACAACAGCGGAGAAAGACAAAAGGAGGAGGGAAAGACAGAGATGATAGCAGTATAAAGCTAGTTAGTTAGCTCTGGTTCAAAACAACTGATCCTCTCAATTAAGGATGTCCTGATCCGATCTCACAGACTATAAATAGCGCATTTGTCCCCAAGGATTACTGTTTTGCAAAGACATCTGGAATTGTGATAGGTAATTAAATAATAATACGTAATATTTAATTTTATTTATTATTATTATTTAACTAGATTTTCACACATTTTTGGTCACACAACACAAGAACTATTAAATCAAGCCAAGCATATATGTAAGATTGATTTTAATAACTTTACATGAAGTTTGCGCTGTGTAACCTTATCATCCAGAAAAACACTGGACAAAGACAATCCCTACTGACAATGATATGTTGATAATGAAATGCTACATGTAGCACCTTTTCTATACAGAAAGTAAAACGCAGTTATAAAAGAGAGCAATGATCAAAGTTACATTCTACCAAGAATGTGAAAACGAGCTAAAAGCGTTAATGTGTTTTGAGCTGCTGTACCTTACGTGTTATGTTTGTGTATCACGTGTTAGGAACTGTGTCCTTACCGTTCCGTTGATGGGCACATCATCATAGTGCAGAGCCATACCAGTGGGGCAGGCGTAGCCGTTGACTGGGTTGTCCAGGTACGGGTTAGGAGACACAGCACGCTTACTGGTAAAACTGTGAGGAGAAAAATGATCCAATCTCTTTAATAAAGTATTTCTCAGATTCTCATGTCAGTGCTCAAACACTCATTAGTCTAAGAAGAACATAAACACATGTTCAATTTGCATTTTAATCACTAGAGAAGCTGCATGTGTCGCTCACCAGAAGGACTGCTTGGCTAGCTGGATGACATTGGCAGTGGTCTCGACGTCGATGTAGTCGTAGTGCAGGGTGGCTGGGTCAGTAGTGGAGCCAGTCTCAGCCAATAAAACCCCCAACCAGCGTCCCATCACCTCAGAGGAGGAGGCCTGGAGGAAAAGGTCATTTACAGGATGTCAGTCATACCAGTTTATGTGATATCCAAGTGTGCATCAGACAGGAAGTGGTTAATGTATATAGAACAGTATAGTATGGCCAAAATGTGATGCCAAATGCCAGATTCTTACACCATTGATTTAAATCAGGTCGTCAAATAGCTCTCCAGTAAGACTTTTTTTTCATCATTACCTTCAAATTATACATTATTAGCTATAATTTAATCAAATTAAGAGCTCTTTCAGTTTGTTGTAGGAACTGGCCACTACTTGAATGTTACCATCCATCAAAGGCTTTGTAATGATATGTTTTTACAGGGAATAGAAATGGAAGCAAATGTCTAGCAAAGGATAGCGTGCAGACTGTGCAAGGAAACAGAATCAAAACAAACAAAATGGCAAATGGAGGAAGTTCATATACACCAACAACATCAAACACACAGACACAAGTCACTGTTGGGTGGAGGAGACGTTTTACCACATAAGAAGAGAGGAGAGGAGGAAAACATGACAAGCAGCGTTTGCTTGTACTGTGTGACTGTGCTTTAATATATTCTCTGCAGGGGATACACATCTCCTCATATACAGAATCAGCAGGATTCCTTAAACGTAGCTCACCTCCAGAACGGCGACTTCCTGGCCGTTACGGAGCAGGCGGAAAGCAAAGGGGTGTTTGTGGTCAAGGCCAGGGCTGACCTCGCAGCCTCGAAGGGGCAGCGAGGCGATGTGGCTCTTCAGGTCGTCCCGGTCCTTATGGAGCAGCAGCTGGTTGTCTTTCAGGCGGCACCAGCGCTCCCGCCAACGGTTATTGGACAACACGTTCAGGTAGCCTGTCAATCCAAGCAGGTACAGTCAGTCAGTCAAATTATTTTCCTCTGCCTTTCTGACTGAGTCAGCTGTAACCACAGTGCCTCTAAATCAATTAGGGCCTCATTAAAGGCCTCAGTATGCTTTATTGGGGGTTTCCAAACTTTTTCCTACCAGGGACCATTTTCAATTCATTGTAAACTAGAGCTGCAACAATGTCAACTTTTAACTATTTGGATGGTTTTAAGTAATTTTTTAAAAGAAAACTTCCCTAATTTCCGCTTATCAATTCTTTCTTTACTCCTCTATCTTTGTGCTGGGGACAAAAGAAAACATTTGAGGACGTCACCTTGGGCTTTTTTTGTTGAATCATATTGTTTCCTCACAGCCATGTAGCAAGTATTCTGAGGCCAAGCACCAGTTCACAGCCTAGGGGGTTGTTAACCTCTGCTTGAAACTCCTTTTTTTATTCTTTCACACAACTTTTGTGCGTACACCCACCAAGAATGTGTTTGAAGAGGGACTGTCAGAAAGTGTTGACTATTCACTTAACTGAGACTTCGGTGACACCCAACACACTCAGAGTTCTTGGAGAAAGATTAGGGAGGCAGTGGGTTTTAACTCACTGGGAACCACATTGATAGACTTGGCTGGATGACACATTGCGCAAACTAGATGGTTTGAAGCATACTGAGAGCTTTAGGATAATGACTTTAATGTCTTACCACATGTGGGTACGTCTTCTTCTGCTGACGAGGTCTGCTCATCTGTCGACGGCTTCTTCTTACCCAGCCCGATGATTTTAGTGATCTTCTTCCCTGCTCCCTTCCCCACTGTCCCAGTCTTCTGCTCTGACTTTGAGTTCTTCTTCCCTTTTCCTGAGAGAGAGACAGACATTGTGAATTTAATTCATGCCTTTAAAAGAAGGGGAAATGAGTAAAACGGCATGTTAAGATGTTACGTGTTCATTTATGCTGATTCAATTATGTCTGGATGCTTTTGCAATATCGTAAGGAAGAGAAAAGGAGAGAAAACGCAACCTTAGAGTCTCTTACTATAAACAGTTCAGAATCAGTTGCATTGGGTTTAATCAGACCCTTGTGGGTTCAAAAGCTCTTTGTTGGTGAATTAGACTCAGTTTAGCAATCCCAGCATCATTACTGTTCTGAGTGGGCAGATCTCAACTGGCCTATTTTCTATCCAAAGACAGAAAGAGAGGAATGACTGTGCACATTCTGCTGGAAGGAGGGCTAAAGTCGAGTAAGCCAGGTCTTAAGAAGCTATGTCTCAGTCCCAGCGTTATTCTGACGGTCTAAATGAAGAAAATAGCTTCTGCTTGCCTCACTTGTTTAGATACTGTGGTCTGTGGTGTATTTAAATGTGTGTGTGTATGAGAATCAAAGCAAAGGAATGGAAGGAAAACAAAGTATTGGTCAAAAGACGTGATAGTCAAACAGGACAAGAACTTTGACTTTTAACTTTTCTCAACTGCCAGATAAAGGCAAAAGAGACAGTGGAGAAGAACTGGGGGAGGGAAAAAAAAAAAAAAGAATTCCCCTTCACTGATGTCATCATGCCGAGACAGCTAACACCAAGTGTCTGGATTCTAGACACACACACACATTGACACACACAGTAATATACTGTACATAATCAGCAGACAGAAAATGCCTTGGCCTTGCATGAAAAAGCACCTAGCTGTTGAAAGTAGTAGTAGTAGTCCAAACTGATACAGTGACAGAAACTCTATATATTGAATTCTTCTGGCACTCATAAGCTTCTGTTTCAACATTTTTTCCATATTGCATTTTCCTCCCAGATATGATGTGACAACTACCATGGCGACTGCCTTAATTAAATAGGAAGCCGTCTGCACTCAATTTCATTCGCAGGGTTTTTTCTCGTAATATGAAAAGTATACAAACACACGTTACACACAATGCAGGTCCGAGGTGGAAAGCAGACACACAGATGTGAAAACGATTTGAACCTTTTTAAAAAGGAGGAATTATTATTATTTTTCCCCTCAGGAGACGAGTAGCAGGAAAACTCTGATCAGGTAAATTTGATTCCAGTAAATCAGCTCTTTTTGTTACCAGCCATGGAAAGAATGTGGCTGATTAAGCTGAAAAAAAGGGTTTCAGGACTGAATGAAAGAATGACTGAAGCATGAGGAGGTGAAGTAAGAGCAAGAACTCAGTTAAGTTTATTACATTTAATTGGTTGTGTTTATTGGATGAAAATAAAAGGTAGTACAGATGTCTAATTTCTAATCATCGGTGATTCAAAAATAGGCTCACATGAGAAAAGTTATGAATCAGGCTGAGCCGAGGTGTCCCTGTGTGATAGATCTGAAGTGGTTAAATCAGTCTGACTATAGGTGTAAAGATTAGAAAACACACACAAGAGTCAGAGATACAGACTAAATTCTGTTAAAAATGCAAAATGCTGCCTGAAGTTTTTGGATTGGATTTATGGTCTTCAAACTATGTAACTGTTTTAGAAAATGTATCGTTTAAGAAGGTGATATGAGCACTCGCGGTAAAGTTACTGGCTAGCATTAGCTGCTAACACTACTTGATATGCCATGATTCAAGGCTGTAATGAAGAAAGTAGAAGAAGGTCAAGAATTTGCGATACTTCAAAAAGCACACACAATTTCTTTGGATGGAAAAGCTGCTACTGATTCTCTCTTTAGGAAATGTCAAGATTGGCTCAGATTTCAAAGGGACATTTCTTTATTAAGAGTCACCCAAAAATAAGATAACATTCATTCTGAGGTTGTGCAGTGTAAGCATAGCCACAACTCCTGACAAATATAAAGAAAGGAGAGAAATGTTCTAGATTTACTCCCAACACCAGTATGTGTTTCTTTGAGCAAGGCACAACACGTAATGATGTAATTTACTAAGACACAACCATCAGCTAAAAATTCTTCAAATGTCACATTTTACTTTTACTTTCTTTCGCCATCCAGGAGCTCAAGTGTGTACTGGGAGGGTGAGAGTGACGACTGCTACTCGCTGAAGGATGGTTCTAATTCTAGATGTAACAGACCCGAAAGGTTAAGACCTACTTCCCTGGAGAAGTAATCAACAATTTTATATGACTGCATTAAGGTCATCAGGATGATCATTGCAATATTGCATAAGGTTTCACAGCAAGACACATGAAAATGACTTATACAACCATGACTCCATAAAAACCCAACTGGATTGAAGATTTGAAATTAACAGCTGGTGGGAAATCTGTTTCAGACATAATGTTGGAAAAATGGACCAATCTTAAACAGTAAAAAAATAAGAGTGTTAAATTTTAGTTGACAATCCAAATAACTCAGCTGACAAGTAAAATGAAATATCTCTCCCCAAGGAATTTTGCCTGCTGAGCAAACAAACGGTAAATAATCAGAGACTCTTTCACCCGTATCTCTTTGTTTTGGCGTCTAGTTGAGCAGGGGAAGACCATTTCTGTGTAAAACCCATGTTAAATAAATCCAAATGCTCATTCTCCATGCTTCATGCATTATTATTAAAGGCTGACCTTTTCAGAGATTCCCTGCTGAATCATTAGACAGATTAATGGGGAAAAGCAGCCGTAATATCTCAGGATTTAGAAATGGGTCGAAGTTAAAGACAAATCTTTGTTGGTTTCAAAAAACAACAATATTGACAATGTTCTACCCCTCATTAAACTTAACTATTAGTGTTGTGCTTTTGGGCTACAATTAATGGTTTTATGACGGGGATTTCGCTCTATTAAAAAAATATATTCTAAACTAAACACCTAACCATTCACAGATGTATGAAACATCATACAAATTTGACAGAAACAATCTTAACTCAGGGTCCACTTACTTGCTTTGTCCAGACCTTTCAACTGTATCATACGTTCTTCATCAGTGGAGAGTTTGTTTTTTGGTCATGGATGTGGATGACATGCAAGCTAAGGATCTGTTATAATTTCATTCATAGTACTTAATGCCAATTCAGAAAGAATGACACAGTTAAAAGCTCTGAAAATCACTGATGAAGACCATACGATTCAGTTGAAAGCTTTGGAAAAAGCTTGAGTTGGGATTGCTGTGGTCCAAAGCACTGACCAATGACGCCCACCCCTGACCAATGGGCCCCATTATAAAATGATTCATATAGGCCCTAAGGAGTCTTGCTTGGGCTTCACTGTGGGCCCAGCTATTGGCCCCCTATTTACCAACAAATGGGCTTTTGAGGGCAGGTCAAGATTAAACCTGCAATTTGTTGACTGCCCCATAAGCGTTTCACAGTTTGGGGCACGCAGGCGCCCCTAATTTTGAGCCAGATGTGGCCCCTCATGGGCTACTAAAATTGGGCCCAATGTTTGCCCAAAATGGCTCCAAATGAGCTTGACTGCTGCGGATGCCCTGATTTAACAAAATTAAAATTTTATGCTCATTTTATTTCATAAAATTGTAATTTTTCTGACGGTAGCTGCCTCAATTGCAAAATCTTTGAACGTCATTCTCTTACATGAAGAGTCACTGAAACAGTCTGTTGTATACTGATGTCTTTCCTGTTGCTTCCACATGTTTCTTCAGTCACGGTTTCTCTTGTTGCTTATTTTAACTACTTACTTCTTTACACTTCTTTTTTGATTCCAATTAACGAGAAATCACTGTTTCCTTCACACTAGAGTGGGATTTTCCTAGGTAAGTCCTTCCAGATATTCTGTGTTTACAACAAAAACTTAAATACGTTCATGAACTGGATGTAAATGACTCACTTCTGTTAGCAGCCGATGTTCATTTGCAAGAAAACATTACAGATTATTTAGTGGTCGCTGCTGTGGACTCTTACCTTGGTCCTTGCTGTCGCTGTGTCCATTCTCGTGAGTCACCTCACCGTCGGAGCTCGGCCGGTCATATGAAGCCTTCTGGCAGGGAAGGAAGACCATACACAAAAATAAGAATGGATGCACAAGAAGGTACAAAGTGAACAAAACTGTACTTTAGTGAAAAAAAGACAGGTTGACAAAGACATTAACGCACAAACACAGCTGTGTAATTACATTGTACATTGTAAAAACCCTTAAGACCATCTGCAACATGTTAAAGATGAATAATTAGGCTGGGCTTGTGTTTGCTGTGCCAAGTTGGGAGTGGTTTGTAGTTAAAGAGCCTCTGATGTAGCTCATTTTCCACCACTAAACACACATACATATATACAGGCACACACATATGGGGTATGGAGTATGTCTCCAGCGTTAACAGCAATTTTCCCAGTGAAAACCAATAATGCAGTGTTTGCCCTACAGCTCCCTTTATCTTCCCTCCAGTGGCAAATGGAATAAATTGCGGCAAACAGCTTTTACCACCCAGTGTGATTGTGTTTGATTATGCCCAGAAAAGAGGCCCTGATGGGATGGAGGTATATTTGCAAATGCTTGTCTATTACAGAAAGGTCAACTCATGATTATTAAGTCAAATTAAACAGTAACGGAAATATGAAGAAAGGGGAAAACAAAATCTTCTTTTGCCTCTCAGATTCACAAGAATTAACAATACTTTCCTAGTGGGACATAAGGTACAGAATTGGGCTGTGACTACTTTGGTTTTCTCAACATCACGTTCTAATTAGAAATGCATCAATCAATATTATCTCATTAACAATGGATCAAATGGCTATGCGTAATATGAAAGCTGTCAGTCATAGTGACAACCCCACAGACAGTTATCACCAACTCTGCAGTACCCCTCAGCTCTTTTGAGTGACTTTCAGCTCATTGTTTTGGTTGTATGGCCCTCAACATTTTGGTTTAGTCTCATCACTGTCATCAAGTTCTGATAAATCCACTGTACGCTACCTGCCTCGTATCAAACAGCATATAGACAACGTTAGTGACTAGCTAGTGTACATAGTGGAGCATTTACCATCTAAAGAGACCAATATTTCCCTCAGGGGTTTGTGGAGGCAAAAACAGAGCTAAAAGAAAGTGAACATTGGAACAGAAACACAACTCTTAGTGAATGCTAAAGTTACACTAAGTCAGTCATTCATCCGAGGAGTCCCCACTCTGTTGTACTTATTAAAAGTTGTGCTAAATATACCAAAATGTACACAGATGTGGACAGCTTGGTGTAAAGGTGTGAAGACATCTCCTAGCAGGCATGGGCATTTTTAGGTCTGCACGTGTGGGGGTCACCCAGACCTTTACAGACCCTTGTGGACACATTAGTGTGCTTTAGTGAACAACTGCTTTCTCTAAAAAAGTACATTTTGGCCTTTTGTCAAATTACTTATATGTTAACAATAATTCAATCCAAAATGTAACCAGCTATCAGAACCCATCCGGGTACAGAAATAACTAGAAAGGAACTTGAAGAGTGCAGACCTCCGGCAAAGCCAGTAGTCCAGTCTGATATATGATATGCAAATCTGCACAATGGACAAATTTACTTAATTTTGCCGTAGAAAAGTGACAAATAATTTGTGTATTTGCTCTTTAATTCTGATCTGCTCCAAAATGGATTCTTCCTTGACCCATGCTACACACTTTCACTAATTTTCATTAAAATTAGGCCAGTAGTTTTTTCCACAATCCTGCTCACAGACAAACCCACAAACAAACCCACAAACTGCACAACATAACATAAAAATACATTACTACTCCTTGGCGAAGGGTAATAACTCTGTATAAAATCAGATGATAAGATTACAGCACCTATCAGTGTGAGGGTGTGTTTACCTTTTCTAGATCGGGTTTGTGCACTGGTGATCCAGATCCAGCTCCATCCAAGTCTACACTCCCATTAACACACACCTCTCTCATCACCTGGAAAACATAAGGAAATACATTAGCAGCAGCATTAGCTAATGAGGCTGTTGTTCACGTTAAACAAGTTGAAAGTCCACGCTCCCACACATCCTGATTACCGCCAAGGGAGTTCAATCTACATGCTGCCATGTCTGACTGAGCCGGTGGAATGTTGGGTCCTAACCGTGATCATAACACATGGGTGGATCCCTTACTTGAAAAATCCTCAAATATTTCCTCACACCATTGCCACATAATTAATAAGCTCATTCCTTCAGCCTAGAAAGCATGCCTGGGGTAATGCAGGCCACATGTACGGCAAACTCCCTCCTCTCTCATACCCCATCATGCTACTGAATGGCAGCCAAGGGATCATAAGGCAACACAGCCCATGCAGTGGAGGGACTACAGGAGGTAGAGAGCATGCACGCATGTGTGGTAGGAGTTGGTGATGGGGTGGAGGTGTCTGCTACACACATTAGACACCACAGAGTTTTACTACGTCCATGGAATCCTTATGCATAATGGTCCAGTAGGGGTGAATGAGATCTGCAGGGCTCTGGAAGGGGCGCCAGTGAGCATTACCGTGACCTCGTTGGACTTCAGACCTGGCAATCCACCGTCAGATCTGGCAATCCAAGTCGTGTGGTGGTGACAGGGGTGTGTGTAGATGAGCGGTGGGCAGAGGGAAATGAGATTTCGGTCGAAGCGCTGGGTGCGCAAGGCGGCTAATGCACTCTCTGACACACACACACACTCCCCCTCATCTTCTCCACAAGCATTCTGAACCATCTTTGGCTGCGCAGAACTCCTCAGCTCATTGGTTTTGGCTTGGAGGGAGCATAATTGGGTTTCGTGGGGGAAATGACAGACTGTGGCTCCATGGGTTTGGCTCAGAGACTGGCTCAGAGGCCGGAGAGTGGGACAGACAGCAATATCATGTCTGTCTTCAACTGAAGTGCTACGATGCCAGACTGGGGTGCAACGTAGGTCTGATGATGTACTACAAATCAAACTTGAGGAGGTAGTGGGACTGTGTGTAGTAGTTTTGGGTGCTGAAACACAATTTTCAATAAAACACTATGCCAGTGATTGACAGGTTGCTGCTGCACGCTTTGGGCATTGAAGTGGTTTTCATACATATTCACGTCCCAGGACCGCACATTTCTCATTTTTCATGCTATAAAATTAGCTTGAAGCCAACATATACCGAACTATTTTAACCATATCAAAGTGTGGTGAAAATTTGAAAACTTTATGTATTCCAGTAACAGCAAAGCTGCGTAGTTTAAAAAGTATTTGATGCTTTCATTCACTTCAGATACGTTTGGAAAAACATCAGAAAAGCAATTCAGTCTTTATAATCAACCAATATTGAGAGCTTTACTCATGGGACAGCATTTAACAGGGCTCTTTGTTGGAGGTCACCATAGTTTTTCTGGAAATGATCAAAATTCATTCTCCATGCTCCATGGGTTTCAACCATTTGCCTTTGGCTGCACTCAACATTCGCCATTGGTGCATGACAGCAAAGGGTCTTTTTAAAATGATTGTAATTGTATCTTTATTTGTGTGTGTAGAATAGCTGCGCTATTTCTTATCATTTTCTGAAGAAAATTGTAAAACCATGTTTTAGCCATTTTACTTCTGTTAGGATTGAATGGGCAATAAAATGAATACTGTCCTACTGTCAGATTAAACCAGGGATGATTCAATCCATGGTAAGCACCTTGACTTCTAGACGATCAAGGCAGAATTTTACAGTGATTCCACTCCTTTATCGAAGACACTTTGCAACTGAGCAAGCACCACCAATGTACAGAGCACCAAGTCCATCATGTCTTACAGAAATCCATAGGCCTAAAAAACCAGGCTCCTACAGTGCTTAGTGACATGATGATAAATCAGTCGTACTGGATCTGTAAGTCCCTCCTTTGTGAAATTTCATTTGGATAGACATCTTTTTCTAACTTTGCAAGGCAGCTGGGCTCAAGTGATCACAAGAGAATCTATCTTGTCAGGCTTTAATCTATGCTTTTGTGGCCAAACTACAGTGGTACTGGACCAACCAAGTCCTTTGAGGAAGTACTGGCAGCTACAGGGGTGAGTGTTAGGTGTGACGCTGCAAGAAGACTTCGTTAAACAACAACGGCAGTTATTAAGACGGTTATTTCTGCGTAACAAACTATCTGGCGCAGTCAGGTTAGACTTTTTCTGCTGATGGGATCAATATGTGGAACTCCTTACCCACAAACTTAAAACTGATCATGAGTTAGATCATTTAAGGTAATCAGTAATGTCACAAATGATTTGGTGCTTGTCATTTTTAGTCATTTTATGGTATCATTGTTTGTGTTTAGCATATTACTTATGCTTAGTGCTGTTTGCATTTTTCTTCCTTCTGAATGTTTCTGTGTATATAAAGGCCCATCAAGTGTCGGCCATTGCAAATTATCTTAGGGTATAAATGCTGTGGTATGTGGCTTTGATTAAGATATGATACTTGTACCTATAATAATAAACATTAAATAAATAAATACTGTGAAGGTGACATACAAAGGAATGCCATGCGCTGTTAAACAGTTTGCCGTGGACAACAATGACTGTCAATGTGGCGTTAGACAGCACACTTAATAAGCAGATAAGCCATGGATACAGAAACAGAGTAAACATACAACTTACTTTCCCCAAGCATAGTGCAGAAAAAACAACAAGAAAAGAGAAGTTAGAAGAAAAGATATTACATGAGTCAGAGAGACAAAGGAAATCAGGTCATACTGTGGCAGGAGGCAAAAGGGAGATGAGGTAAAAGACGATGGAGAGGAAGAAAAGGGGAGAGAAATGCATACAATTTTTAGAAAAAGGACTGGGAAGGTTTGGAGAATGAAGTAAGGACACAATATGGACATGTGTGTTCCATAAACACATCGTTTGCAGACAAAATCTGGGAGAATCATTACTGTAACTAGGCTTTGGAAACCCACAGGTACTCTCCTAACTTTCCCTCCCCCCTTTTTTCTTATCTTCCATTCATTATTTTCTTTCTCTCTCCTTTCCGCTCCATTCCTCCTCTACCTTGCTTCCTCTTATCTTACCTTGCCCTTTCTCCTCATTCTTCACCAGCTCCTTCTCCCTCATCTCCCCCTTGCTAAATACGAGTTCACATGGCTTCACTTCAGTCACAGGGACACACTGCTGGCCAGCTGATTCAACGACGGTGCAAAATGCCGTAAGTAATCTTTATTTCCATTATCCAAATTGGTGATGTGAAATACAAGAATTACCATTATTGAAGTTTTATGCCTCTGGGTAGAAGTCAAGTTCCAGAGAAGTGGACAAAAAAAATTTAAAAGCTGGAGAAAAAGAGGTCAAGAGACAAAAGAAAAAGTGAGGGGAATAAAGAACAAATGAGTGACTGCTAAATACCCAGTGGTCCTAGCAACACAATATCCAAACACAGACACAAAGACTTGCTAATCTCTCTGGCTGGATGCCACTCTTATACACCCTGCGACTGGAGGGAACACAGAGGAGGCCAGGGAGTCAAACCCTCCCTCGCCCTGCCCCTAATGACACGAACACAGCACATGGATTATAAATCCAGACTGGTTTTGCAAAGAAGGGTGTGAGTGCAGAACCTCGGCCAAGTGTATGTGATGACTGCTGATTGCAGACATAGTGTTATCAGTTCAATATGTTTCCAACATCCACGCACCTGACTAAATATGCAAAGAGAAACAGTTTCTCCAAGCAACAATTAGTGCAGTCGTTACCAAAGTTTGGGTGGTACAGAGATTTGTATATTTTCACGGGTCTGGTTGCGACTGCCTGCAGATACCTCAGCCCAGACGAGGTTACCTGCCTCAGCCAATCAATAAACAATGGCTAATTACCATGCAGCACGAGTAATTGAATCAAGAAGGAAAACACAAACTGTTTTGATCTTTGCTTCCTGCCATAAACACAAAATAGATGAAACTTGAAGTTAAGGACACACTGCAAATAATAAGACTGCTGTTTCCATCAATGGTCTGTGGGGCAAAATTGCTCCACATTTTTTAACAAGACCTTCGATGAGTAATGAAAAAAGTGAGCCTTGCAGTCCAAAAGCCTGTTGGTAAAACTGCAAAGGGGAACTGAGTTGGCAGAAACGAGTTGGCAGAGGCTAGCAGGGACAAACGATTACAAGAATACCATTGCACAAATGCACAAGGAGGGATCTTAAAATAGCGCACAATACGTAGTCAAGGACAAACAAGCAATTCCAGGAGATTCTCAGGAGAGCAGAGGTGAGGAGGAAGAGGGGGCTGCAGGGGTTTCTTTTAAATCCAAAGACCAGATGAGGCCCGTCTGTCCTCCTTTGATTGAAACAGAAAAGAGCCCAGAGGAGCTGGCAGCGCACTAACAACAAATGGACGCAGGGGTTGAAAAGCAGAAAGTACCGGAGCCTATTTGATGTTGGCGGGGTGGGTTTGTTTTGCAGACTTGTCGAGCGGCCAGACAGAAAGATCAGAGAGAGAAAGAGAAGACGGGGGGATGACAGAGGCAGAGAAAGAATGTGTGAGAGACAGAGGGATCAGAGGACTACAAACCAAACATCTTCACATCAGAGCGAAACCAGCAGAACCACCTGTTCATAACAAACTGCTCATACAATAGCAGGAAAAGGTCCATCCTGGACAACAAAAGCTAAGTTATTCTTATACAGAGAGCTACACCCTTTATTCTTCAACACTAGCAGCAAAATCAAAGTTACAGTGCATCTAATTTTTACAAAATCTGAAATAAAACTTTAAGCCTGATCCCAAGAACTTCACCCCAATCTGACCTGTGCTACAATGATCTATGGTGAGCACTGCTGACATTGGTCTACAGTACCCTTTACTGTGTTTGACAGCTCCCTCCCTAGTAAGCCACATGAGGCTGTGGTTTAAGTCATTTTAGAAGAGCAAACTGGGTTTATGGCCTCCTCACTCTTTTGGTGACTTCACATTTTAAGAAAGGCTGCTTTAGTTAAACAAAAGGGTTGGATCTGTAGAGACTAGATGGTATTTCTAAAATCTAAACATTACAATCTTTGATTGGTAGGTCAACATAAATGGTTAAAGGACCAGTGAGTAGCATTTAGTGTCCTCTTTTGGTGAGATTGCAGGCCGACTGCAACCAACTGCAACCCCTGGACTCATCCAAGGGCGAAGAAGGAACTACAGTGGCGATGAAGCTCACAAAAGGCTGGAGCCAGTGTTCAGTTTGTCTGGTCTGGACTACTGTAGAAACATGACAGTTCAACATGGCAGACCTCAAAGAGTCTGTAGATAAAAATGTCTGTCAAGATTTTCAGATCATACACCTATGAACATTATATTCCATTCCTGCCAGTCAATCCTCCTAAATGTTTCACAGTGGTCCTTTAAAAATAATTTTAACACTTGAAAAAACAGATTTCACTTAAGGACGGCTTACTTGTTTGTTCTGGGACCTTTTATCATATCACATGGTCTTTATCAGCAAATGAAATTTGTTCAGTTCCAACAAAACTGTAAATTTTATTTATCGTTTATCGACGTGTTAGCTTAAAAGTTGAGCTACACAGAGATACTGATCTGCTGATGAGGACCAAGTGAAGCAAACCTGCACCTTGACTGCAGATTGTTTTGTCAACTGCTGTTTGCAAGCGCAACAATGAACTATCTATCTCGACTATTTGAGCACTGTTCTATTTAGCAGAATGGAACCATGTCTCTGTTCAGATGTATCATTTTCTGCATGAATGCAATGTTGTAGGAAAAGTGGACAATTAATTAGAGTTACCTTGAGCCACTCCTCGGCCTGTTCTTTGCTCTGCACAGCCAGCACTAGGGCGTCCGCCCCCTGGTGGACGATCTTCAGTTCATGCTTCTTCTTCTTGCCGTCTTTGGGGATGTGAGTGATGCTGCATCCTGACAGGGTCAGCTCCATCTGGGGGGTGTGGTCTTTGGAGGACTTGTAGCACTGGAGGAGGAGAAAAGGGGCAATGTTAAACTGGAGAAACCAAACATGATATTGTTGTGTTGTTCTCTCAATCATCTTATCTTTTAGGTCACCATTTGCACGCATGCCTAAACATAGATCTTACGTGGGAAGCCGTTAAATTGTGCCTGGCTGTGGTAACGTATAGATAAGTGTCCCTCACCAGCAGTTTGTTATCTTTGATGACACAGAGGAGTTTGGTCCACTGGCCAAAGCGCTTCTTGCGCAGCAGGAATGCACAGATCCGAGCGTCCTTCACCAAATCCATGGACGCCTCTTCAGATGGCCATTGGTGACGCATCTTCTGGCCCTTCCCATCCTCCTCCTCCTCATCGTACGACTCGTAGGAGCTGCTCATGGCGTCCGAGTCATAGTCTGAGGGGGAGGCAGAAGGAAAATTGTTTTTCATATACTGCCTTTTATTTTCTATTTATTAAATTACAAGTTAACAGGAAAGCTTTGTCCATTAACTACTGTCCGTATATGTGTGATGTGTATTGTTTATCAGTCTGTCACTCACTGGAGGTGATGTATTCAGGGGCCTTTCCAGGACTTAAAGGGACTGCTTCCTCATAGTAGCCTTCTGGTAGAGAGGAGCTGGGCAGAGGAGGGGGGCCATTGTTTGGAGGCTGCAGAAAGAGAAGAGAGAAGTTTCCATTGATTAATGAGAAGAAAACTACATTTAAAAATGTCCCCAGAAGCCTCTGTCCTGAAATAACTACACTGACTATTGATCATACATATTTAAACTGAGAGACGTATATGGAAACCAGAGCTAAAGATGAGATTGATGAAAACAAATAAAAAATCATCTTGGGCAAGGAGCCATTCTTTGGATCAGAGCAAGGACAATAACTCATAATTGTACTTAGTGTCAATGCAACACAGAGGCAACCACTGTACATAGACATTAGAGGCATTTCAAAATATGAAAAGAGAATAGGGGGGAGACTGAGAAAGAATGCTTGTGAGGAGGAAAAGACAATAATTCTAAGGTAGTGTGTTCCAGAGACAACAAGTGAAGGAAACCTAGCCTGAAGTCTTGTTATGGCCATTTATTAACGACTGGAACAGAACTTAAGAGTGACTTGATAACCAAAATAAAGAAGCAAAGCTGATAAAAACAATTCATTTGTGACCAAAGACTCTACAGAAAGGTGTTGATGTTATTGCACAATGGATTAAAGATATTTCATAGTATTCTACTGCAGAGATCATGACAGTACAGAGAGACACAAGGGGAGAGAGGGTGGAAAGAAATGAGACCTCCTTTGTTTGGATGTGTTCTCTTTGGCACCACACAGTCCAACAAATCCAGTTGTTAGAGCAGGGGATCAACTGCACAGCCTGACGTGATCCATCTTGGCCAGCGCTGTGCACCACTTCTCTGACGTTTCAACTCTTAAAATAACACAACTGTGGCTATAAACATTAAATCTGATAATCTGACAGGTACATAGAAACAAATGTCTCACTGGTTGGCATACATCAGTGTAAATCCAGCATTTCAGAACTGTAGAGAAATGTTTGTTGGAGAGTCACATATAGCTTTTAAGTCATGTTTTCCTTCAAAGCAAATTGAAAGAATGAGCTTCTGCATGCTTCTCAATAAAACTGATCTCAAAACATTCTCATTGAAACCTTTTAAACTTGTGACACACAATATGTCACATTTGTAACTGCAACTGCAATGGTTTCTGCAGGTTCAAACAGGTTAAATTTAAGACTTTTTAAGACCACTATGGATGCAAGACCTATTTACGTCCATACTGGAAAAAAGTACAAAGCACATGAAGGAAAATCGTTATTGGTCCCATGTTGGTTCCGTTTTGTAGGTGTTACAGGATGATAATAGAAATCTTTCCCAAAAACACATTTAAACAACCAAGATTTGGTAAGATTTTTACAGTCAAAACCATACCAGACTTTAAGAAAAATGTTCACACTACTGGCTGTATGTATATATTTAACTGTATTAGAAGTTACTAATAACATTAACAATGACTGTTCTATTCAAATGCCAGCCGGACCCTAAAACTGAAGCAGCCAAATTAAATTCAGCCATTATTACTATTTCCTACAGTGACATATCAAAATGTCTTCTACTAAACAGCACTATATGCAGTGTTGATGTCACTGATGTCAGTTGCTCATCCAGGTTCCGAAATGTATTTCAGAATACATTCCGGATGTGCAATAATGCTTTTAAATCACAGTTTACAGGAGCCCAGCGGAGTGTAGCACGGACCATTAAAAGCAATGTTTCTTCTAATAAGTACAAGCCAGTACCAGACAACCTCAAACTGCATGAAATGTTGTCAAGCTGTAAAGACCTTATAAGGCCACAATCTAAGTCTCTCTGAAAGCCCTTTTCACAAAGACCATAACCAAGCTGCGATGGCTGCAGACTTTTTTCCTCTCATGGAAAACCCCTTTTATTTCTCTTTTTATTTTATTTACTGGTGGCAGCGCCGATATTCCGCCAGTTATAAAGGGGAGAGACTCCATAACTGTTATGAAACTCTATGTGCTACGGGCCATTGGTTACAGCTGACCCAATCAGGCGTCAGCGCTGCAGTGATGTCAGCATCCATTGCTGTAGCAACGTGGAACATCCATAAAAAGGTTTGGCTGACGTGCAGCCTCAACGGCTAACTTCTTCAAAGTGCAGAAAGTATGTGTCACTGTGCCGTGACAGTGGACGCTGCTCTAATGAAAGAGAACTATTATATTTGAACAAGAATATCACAGAATCAAAAGAATGGAAAGAAAAAGGCAAATCTATTAGAGACAATTACACTTTTTACAAAGGAGAACTGTAATTTTATTTTATTGGTACATCCCTTTTGACCTCTAAAGAGTGTTGGAGTTTGGTTATTTTTCTAGGAGTTATTTTATTTTTCCCTGCTTATTTTCTGGATAATTGCTAGATGTAGTATGAATGGAGGACTGCATTGCGTGTGCAGTTGATTAATCATCCATTTTTCATGTTAATCTGACATTTAGTAAATCTGACCACTGGATTGGAAGGCCAGATGTGGGCACATGGATGATAGGGACATGGCCCTACCAATATTTCAGGAGGACAGAACTGTACTTTGCATTATATTTGGAGAGGGGGTAGTGGGTGGGCTGTTGTGTCCCTACCAATGTGACCAAACCCACACCCTTGATTTGAAATAAGAGTAGAAAAAGATTCATTCTTGACCTACGGTACGCACAAGTGTGATACAATATTTTAAACTTATGATTCACTTACTAGTTTTATCCAGAACTTCACACATAGCCTTCTTCAGCAATTTGCTCAGGAGTCATCATATGACCTTAGTACAGACTTTGATAATGTGATAACAAGTAGTTAGTCTGTACTTAGGTCCTGTGAAGATGTTTCATTCAGTGAACCTTGAGTTTATAAAATATGTTATCACAGAAGAAGTCAGTGCTCTGTATTTGCACTGTAAAGAACATTGTATAGTAAAGAACATTGCAGAAATATGACCAAACTAGCTGACCATTATACTGTGAATCTGAGTTAATATTTTTGTCATACGCCAATTGAGAATATGTCTTCCGTTATATGATAAAAAAGTTGCAACCAGCCCTGTAGAGTTTGGCTTTTCTGTGGTCTATTGCTTGTGGAAAAGGCGAAGGCGGAAAATGCTGAAGTAACTGATTGGCAGACTAAAGACCGTCAGATGGCCACACATGGCTGAATGGTGCCCCAACTGGCGACTCACGGGTGCCTGTTTCACCGGCCTGAAACACCATTTCCATCTGACCTATTACCATCTCCAAAAATCCACTTGCGTTATTACTTCTGTCAAATCAAACATTCTGCACTGGGCCATTTCTTAATATTTGAGCCAACTCTTTACCAATCCATAATAAGTTGGAGTCAAGCCCTAAAACGGCCAAATTTTGGAGATGAAAGATAAATGCTGATAAATACCAGGCCTATGACCCATCTGTCCAACAGTCCATTAAAAAGTCAAATACTCCCTCTGTTTTCTCCCACTTTCCCATTCATTTTCTTTTTCAAGCCAGATGTCATGGTCTCCTTTCCTCCCTGTTAAGCTATCTTGTTTGTCTGTTGCTCAAAAAAGATTCATTTTAACAAGTCATTCAGAATCAAACCATAAACTTTGAAATTTTGATTTTGAAAGACTTTCGAAAAAATGTGTCATTGTGCAAAATGCAATGTTGACTTCTGTCTCTTGTCTCAGTAAATACATCTCCTCCCCTATATTAATCCTCCTCCTCATTGCGCCCGTTTCTCTTTTTTCAGGCCTCTAGCAGAAACCTTATCACTTCTCCTCTGGAGGAAACAGCGGTTCGGTGAACTCATTTCTTGGCAGGGATACGCTGCCCTGCTTAACTCCAGCGCCGCCAGCGTTCTCCTCCCTATCCCAGCCCTAAGAAGAAAAAAAATCCCCCAGAGAGGAAGACAGAAGGAAAGAAAGGCAGAGAAGCGAAACGAACGAAAGCACTCAGCCTCTGTGGTCAAACAATAGGCACAAAATTCAGGTTTGAGGAAGTGGATGTGAAAGTACCCTTGTGTTGCATGTTGTATTGGTGGAAGATTGTTGAAATGAGGTCTTCAGTTTCATATCTCACATCACAACAGCTTCCTTTCCAAGACCTTTAAGTAATAATACCATTAATAATCATGCAGAAGCCGATTGTTTGGGTAAGCATTTTTCCCTGAGTGCAGCAGAATACATTACATTACACTCCAGAGAATGTGATCCCATTGCTCTGCTATGTAGTGACTCAAATCTTAGAGGGAATGGGGTGAGGAGGAGAGTGTGTTTGCAAACACTGCATACACACACTTGTATACAGACACGCATTTAAACACACAATCCAAGTTTTCCTTTGCTGTCACTCACCCACAACAACAGCTTGGCCGTATCACACAAGTGATCTGCAGATCAATTACGCTGCAGCACACTGAAACCAACAGGAGTTCACTGCGGTCACGATGCATACCGCCCCTCTGCTGACCATAAACACACACTGCTTAAACGCCAACAAGCAAAACTTTTCCTGCAGTCTAGCTCTGATCAGCTGCAAATGCTCCACAGATCTCAAAAACATCCATTCAATATCTTTTTATGGCAGTATCCAGTACAGATCTGGATAGGGGCTCAGGAGTCAAACTTCCATCCTCACAAGCCAGTTTCCTTCATCTGTTACAGATGAGATTAGAATAGATGGAACTGTAATTATGCTGCTGCAGCCAAAATATCTACACAATACTGCAGATAAAATACACAATAACTGCAGGGGTCTTAACTGACAGATTTACAAGTTGGAGAGAATATTTTGACCAAAAATACTGAACTCAAGGTCCACTTACTAGTTTTTTCCTCAAGTAATCCCAAGTGAATTCAAAGATATTCACAAATTCAAAGCCATTATTTCGAACAAAGAGGAGATAAGCTCTCAGGCACCTCATTTTTCACTACATTTAGCATTTAAAACTACACCAGTGGAATTCTGTGGATCTTCTTGTTACTGACAAGAGCAAGTTTTGATAACAATATGTGCAGCTGTGGCTCAGAGGCAGAGCAGGTCGTCCACTAATTGGAAGGTTGTTGGTCGGATCCCCGGCTCCTGCCACCACATG